TCCTCAGCTATTTGCAAAGCTTCCTCAGACAGCCATTTTGCTTTCTTGCATTTCTTTTTCTTTGGGATGGTTTTAGTTGCTATCTCTTGTACAATGTTGTGAACCTTCGTCCATAGTTCTTCAGGCACTCTATCAGATCTAATTTCTTAACTATTTGTCACCTCTACTGTATATTCATCAGGGATATGATTTAGTTCATATCTGAGTGGCCTAGTGCTTTTCCCTACTTTCTTCAATTTAAGCCTAAATTTTTCAACAAGAAGCTCATGATCTGAGCCACAGTCAGCTCCTGGTCTTGTTTTTACTGACTGTATAGAGCTTGTCCACCTTTGCTGCAGAGCACATAGTCAATCTGATTTCTGTGTTGACCGTCTGGTGATGTCCATGTGTAGAATCGTCTCTTGGATTGTTGGAAAAGAGTATTTCCTATGACCATTGTATTCTCTTGACAAAATTCTATCAGCCTGTGCCCTGCTTCATTTAGTATTCCAAGGCTAAACTTTCCTATTATTCCAGTTATCTTTTGGCTTCCTACTTTAGCATTCCAATCCCCCATGATGATAAGGACATCATTTTTTGGTGTTAATTCTATAAAGTGCTGTAGGGCTTCATAGAACTGGTCAATTTCATCCTCTTCAGCACCAGTGGTTGGGGCATAGATTTGGACTACCATGATATTGAATTGGATTGAGGCCTGTGCTTCCAAATATGGAATTCATTTACTAGAATTTCAACTATATTTCCTGATTTTCTAATTCCAGTGTTTGTGGAAACTTCCATTAGTATCACTCAAATATTGAAGGTAGGATCTGTGGATCCTTAACTTCTTGTGAAGATTTATCACCTGTGGACTCAGTGTTACTATGCTCTCTGATTTCTTAAGTTTCCAACAATGGTCATTGACTTTGGAAGTAGAATCTGAAACTGAGTTACACAATAAGCAGATGATACTGGTAGGTTTGGCAGTTTTATTGATGGGAGAAATGCTTCAAATGTAAAAACAAAAAAAGCATTTATAGAAAGTTTTTTAAATTTGCTTTTCATTCCCCCCCCCCATCCCCCAACTCAGCGTACCAGTTGTTACACTGGTTGAATCCCATCACTGATGCTATCACTGATGATGTTACCTAGTTTGGGTAATGAAATGTCTGCAAGAAAACAAGCAAGATCAGAGAGTACCAAGAAACTCTCAGTTTCTAACAATCTATTTTTTAAAAGATTCTTTTTTTACTTTTAATATAAAATTAAATTTATTTTTTTTAATAAATAGAAATGCAAACACATTCTATCCTTTCATATTTTTTCCTGCTTCAACATATGAATGTTTGCAATTAGTCTTTAAAACTAATAAACATTAGATGCACAATTGAAATTGCAAATGGGATCTTTGTTTGCAAAACAATTCATCTGCAGTCATACTTTTAAAAAGAGGATGCAATAATGAACAGCTTAAAACATTTTTATGTTCCAAGTCTTCAAATAAAAGAGATGGATTTTCTGTGCTAAATTGTTTCTATCTGCTTATTTACTTCTGAATATAATTAAATGTTTAGCTTATATTAAGGAAGAGAAAAATCTTCCTTAAACAGACTAGGAACAGTGATAAAGACATAAATCTGAAGCCAGGAATATATAATGAAAGCCTCTACCCAATAATTACATTCCTTAAATTAATCAGCCAATCAATCAATCAATCTAGCTAGCTAGCTGCCTCATCTAGCTAATGTACTCTTCTCTTCTAGCATTTATACTCAAATGCATTGTTACCATTTTGGTAAAACGTTCTGAAACAGGCATACAGAAAACAACTAGTGTGAACCCCCATAAGGGAGGATGAGACAGGCCTCCACTCTCCTGGACTTTTGGAAATATCTGAAGAACTGCCTCTGCCATCTTGCTTGGGGCTCACATAGCACCAAGCTATGGGGCTCGTTAGCACCTTGAAAGCCTTCTTTCCACTTTTTAAATTTTGAATTTTAACTAACTTTGCCTCCAAATAGAATACTGTATTTATATACAGTTTTTATGTTTTTATATTTTTCTTGTACATCACCCAGAATTCCTCTATGAGGAAAATAGATAGTTCCTAAATTTGACATACAAATAAACAAGTGACATTTCACAATTAATTTCAAGGGATATGCCTGCAATCCTATTTATAGTTACTTGGAAGTCAATTCCACAACACAATGATCTTCATTTCTGATTGCATATTATTAATAAGCACCAAAAATAAAAGAGCTTTAGCCAACTTAAATGCAGTCTTTAGCTTTTATACAGAAATGCTAATATTTTGCAATCAAATGGCCTTTAAGCCATTAGAAAGAGTATGTGAGCCACCAGAGAGACAAATATCTGGCTTCATTCTCTGATGTTTCCACTTTCAACTATAACAGATATTTATTTCCCACATTTTTATAAATAATTTAAGGTGGTAAACATACCTAATATTCCTTACCTCTACTGACCAATTGAGAGAGTGACTGACCTTGGCCAGTCACTCTCTCAGCCCACCTCACAGGGTTGTTGTGGGCAGAGAGAGAGTGGCTAGCCCATTGTCATCCAGCCAGCTTTCATGCCTAAAGTTGGATTAGAACTCAATCTCCTGATTTCTTGGCCAGCATCTTAACCATTAAATTATTTATGAGAGCCACCAAACTGGCTCTCAAAAATAATTTAGTAATTAATATTTAATATTAATATTTAGTAAATAATTTAGTAGCTTATCTTTTGTTCCGTTTGCTATGAACTCCTTATTTCAAATGTTGAAGTATTTACAATCAAAGCAACATGACCTTTTAATTCAAGTTGTCAGATAAATATTTCCTTCAGTGAGTGGTTATATATATTACTCCTAATTTTTTCCTCCTCATAGCAGAAAAAAAGGGAACCCTGTAGAGATTATGAGCTCTGATCTTATTTTTCAGTTTAGCCTGAATAGGTCTACAATGACCTACAGGGCAAATCTGGCTCACATCAGCTACTATATTAATTTTTAGCCTGCTATTTAATACAGGTAGTCCTCAATTTGATCACAATTAAGCCCAAAATTTATGTTTCTAAGTGAAACACTTAAATGAGTTTTGCCTCATTTTATGACCTTTCTTGCCACAGTTGTTACGTGAATCACTGCAGTTGTCAAGTTAATAACATGATTAAGTGAATCTGGCTTCTCCATTGTCTTGGCTTGTCAAGTCGCAAAAGATGATCACATGACCCCGGGATACTGCAACCATCACTAGTCATTTGCCAAACATCTGAATTTTGATCACGTGGCCATGGGAATGCTGCAATAGTTGTAAGGGTGAAAACTGGTCATGTCCCTTTTTTCAGTGCCGTTGTAACTTCGAACAATCACTAAATGAATTTTTGTAAGTCAAGGACTGCTTATAAAGTTTTAGAGTTTTTCAATATCTGCCACAAAAAAAATCAGCCCAGCTACTTCAATTATGTATGATTCAGATGCCTTCTCTCCCTACCTCAAATGTCTTCATTCTTGCCAAAAACATATCTCCTCCTCTCTACTAACATCTCATATAGCAACTTTATAGTATTTAACATTCTACATCTTATTTTCCTCTTGACCATTTACTGTTATCTTTCTGATAGGCCAGAATACACAGAATAACTTTGATTTTGAACCACCAGTCTCTTACCTAAATGAAAAACAAGTTGCACTACACTATCCATCTTTAGTCCTGAGCCTAAGAAAACAAAACATTAACTTCAACTGCTGTAAGCTCATTGAGCATGTAGACTGACACGGCTTTAAAAGAAGCAAGACAAATTCAGTTGGATTGGGTTATGATCAGCTGCTATTCTTGATGTCTGTATGAATACATAGGATCACAGATTTATATCTCAATTGTAACTACTGAAAACCTATTGAGAAGATCAGAGAGTGACACATCACTGGAGAAATGAATTCTCTAGAGAGATGTTTTCTGTGCCTATCATGCTGTTGTAAACACAGAGGTATGTTAATGTAAAGCTAGTGGTGGCAGTTTTGAGATTGATATAAGACTTGTAAAATGGGGTGTTGGGAGTCTGCTGGATACAAATCTGCTGGATTCAAAAACCCCTTTTTGATGGACTCCAAAACTGTACCTTTGAGTCATACCAACCTACATACGAAGCAACGAAAGTGCATTTTCTCCTGTATTCTGGGTTTCCTTTTCTAGTTTTGAACACAGAAAAATATTAGATATTGTTCTTTTCCTCAACAAAAAAAAGGAACTTAATTTTATACATACATCAGTCATTTTTCAGCCGAGTAAACTCTCAAAGCAATTTAATGTTGCCTTTTGAAAAAGCATCTTTGCGCCAACCTGGATGGCTGAGAATCTCCATACACACTTAAATTTGGGTATCTTTCTTATCTATTTCTTTGGCTTATTTATACAGTTTTTCCATGTTCTGCATAATGTTGCTTACCCTGAAAGGGAACGGCATAACCAGTAGATAAATACAGTTAATTTTGTTAATTTCGAACAACCTAAATTTTGCCTCTGGAATAACGCATGAGCTTTTTTGAAACTCCCTTGTGATCACGAGTTACATGCAGGATGACTGCAGCTTCATACATTCGAAGGGCACTACCCTCGCTTTCGTCGAGAAGACCCAACTCCACACCGTTGGCGCAAACACAGCCCGAGAATGCAAACTCTCCGGCTTCTGCAATAAGGAAAAAAGGGCAAGAAAAGCACTCGAACGACTAAGATCCGGCCATCGGCGCACGTGAATTTCTCCAGCAAACTCCTCCTCCTTCTCCCAGCCGCTTTCCAACCTCTTTGGCCGTCTCCGGCATTCCCATTGGCTAATCTCTCCATTTTTGACCTCTAACCCGGCTTTCCTCGCCAATCGCGCTCGTTCTTTTATTTTATTGAGTAAACGGCGAGGAGGCGGACGGGGGAAAGAAAAGGGCACGCGGTGAGAGAGAGAGAGAGAGAGAGAGAGAGGAAGAGAGAGAGAGACGCGCTCGAGAGAGATGTTAGGTGAGTTCGTCGCGTGGGTGCCGCGCGCTTGGACACGCTGCCGGACGAGCGAGAGGCGTTGACTTTTCAGACTGGGGTTTTGCGGCGACGGCGTGGCATTGGGCCTTCTCGACGAAAGCGGGGGTGGAACCCTTTTTTTTTTTGCGTAAGCAGGGGCGGGGAGGAAGCTTGTCGCAGCCGGCCCCAGGTAAATGGAGGAACCTGTCAGTTGAGAGGAGGAGGAGGAGGAGGCGACCAAGGTGAAATGGCGGCGGCGGTACCAATGGCGGCACAATGAGGCGACGCCTGTAAACCGGGTAAACTCCGGACTGTCCCACCTGGCAGGTAGGAGGCGCCGTTGACCGTTTTCTGTTGCTCCCCGCCTCTGTTTTCGCTTCCTTGGGTCGAGTTGGAGCTTTCCAGGTTCTGCTCCCCGGCGTGAGGGTCGAGGGCCCAGCACCTGAGGCTGGCTGGACTCGCCTTTCTTTCCTCTCGTCAGGGCAGCTGGGCGCCACTTGGGAACGCCGGGTCGGAAAAAAAACGTGTGGAAAAAGCAGCAGCCTTTGTCTTCCATCCAAGCGGCTGCACTCGAGGCCTCTCCTTAAGTTACCCGCCGCCCTCTCTCTTTTTTCCCCGGAGGTGGCGCGGTTTGGAAAGAGCTTCCGTGGTTTTTTTCTTCTCCTCACGACCACCCCCTCCTCTTTTTTTTTTTTTAAAATCACAAAATCGGTTAATCCAGGTACATATGTCTTTGTGTTATAATAAGTTGGCGTTGAGCATTCTTGAAGGAAATCTGGGAATGGGGGGGGGTTATGAATTTTTTTACCCAATAACATCTGCCAGTTATACTAGTCTTTCATATCGGATCTCGCCCATCTGGGTGCGGTGAATTGGGGTTGATAAGGCAACAATTACCGCCGTTTTGTTTGAAGTTCGAGGCGGTTTTGTTAACTCCTCTCAGGAGTAAATAGCATTGTTAAAAGAGTTCTGAAAAGCTGCATCAGGACCTACCGTATTTGCAATGTGAAGTTAATCTTTTGTAGTGGATTGAGAAGAGGGACATTCGACACCGAATTTAGAGATCTCCTTTCATTCAGGGTTAGATTAGCTGCCGTTTTTTAGATTCTCTTCCTGCAATGTCTGGGCCAGAACATAGGAAAATTCTACATTTATCCCTCTTAGTTTTTTTCCTTTTTTTCAGTTTCCTCCCCTAGTTGTTCTTTGGTGCTCCTCTTGGTGTAGTTTCCGAGAAATAAGAATGCCTCAATATAACATGTGGAACTACAGAGATTTTATTAAAGCAATCCCCAACCATCTATATCTTGATAGCTTTGAAATAGATGTAAGGACATCTACTAACCCCATATTTGTTTATTTTTTTAAAAAAATCTGTCTAGGTCAGGACATTGTTGCAAGTATTGTTTTTCCCCCCCACTGTATTTCTTAAACTAACTTTTCTTTATCCGTTTCAAGTTGCCACTGAACAAAATATGCCTATCAGTGTAACAGTTTTGTTGTTTCTGATTTCTAGTTGCCTTCTGTCTGTTTGGCAAATTGGAAACAAGACCCCTTAACACAATGGAAATAACAGTCTGCTTTAGAATTTTTAAAAAATGCTTTATCTTTTGAAATGCTATATGTCAATGCTATATATTGAATTAATGCTTCAAATTGTGTTTTAAAAATGTGGGAAATCCTAGGAGATTGAATTTGATCGTGATGTTTTTAATATATAAATCAAGCTTCAAGTAACGTAAACTCTCATATTCTCAATTTGATTTGTAGGAAAGTTCCATAAATACTCTGTGATGGTTGTATTTTTTTATAGATAAACATATTTTTAAAGTTGAATTCAGTTGATTTTTGAGCAATGTAGGAAGAATACCTTCTTAGGGAAGTTTTATTAATGCAAATGCAGTGCACAGTATGTGTTGTCTTATCTGCAACTACTTTGAGTCTCAGTAGTGTAGGGTTTCCTGCCTAAGCAGGGGGTTGGACTAGAAGACCTCCAAGGTCCCTTCCAACTTTGTTATTCTGTAATTCTGTTAGTGAGAAGAAGCTAGTTTTCTCATATTAGACTACAGGTTAGATTGACCTGGCATTGTTGTGACATTTATTAATCTGTACACTATGAGATACAGACCAGCACTACCAGATTACACTTTGCTCTAAACCAGGAACATATACATATACTAAAACTGAATGCAATGCTTTGTTTTTTCATTACAAAGCCAAGGAATTTAGTCAAATCAGTGGTTTAGGAAAGCAGATACAGAATTGCAAAACAAGATACTGCAAAGTATGTGCTTAGCACAAGCATTTGTGTTCAAGATAAAAACTGGACCTGCTACACAGATTTGCAGAGAAATGAATGTATGTGATAGTCCTATTAATCAATTGAGAGAAACAAAAAATTGCAACTGGTTAACATCTAATAATATGAATGCATTCCTTGTATGATTAGATCCTTCCCAAACTGAAGCAGATGTTTAATATATAGTGAAAATGTTTACAGAATTGAAAAGTCATTAGTAATTCAAAGGGATATAATCAGTGCCATGCAAGTATGCTTCTGTTCATTCTTACATCTCTATTCTCTGGAATGGGTTTTGAGAAAAAAAAGTAAATGTACACCGAATGAAGGCAAATGTACACCATTCAATAAAACTCAAAATTCTAATCAGCTATAATACTGTTCAATTTTTGGAGCGCTAAATGAATAATTGCAGACACAGCATCATAATCAGAAACAGCCATTTTGATTATCAGTTAAATAGAAAATTAGGATGGCATCTTTTTAAATTCTCTGTTGTATTAACTGAGAAGAAAGGGGAGGTGATGTGTACCATAATGACAACTTCTAATACTAATACTAATACTATACCACAAGTTTATTTAAGATGGGTACGAAACATTATTGAACTGCCATCTTTTGCTGTAATGAAAATACCTTAATTATTGTTTTAGATTAGTTTTAACAGATGTTACTCCGGTTTATCCTATTTTGGATTTTTGAACAGAGAAACTCAAAACTACTAAAAGAAGGCTAAAGACTTGTTTTGGCTTTTTAATATCAAAGAGAATTTGAACACATTTTTCTGCATTTCATTTCTCTAACCCCTAGTTTTAATAGTTAAACTGTAAAGACATTGCTTTATAGCATAATCTGAATATGGTTTTCTGCAGTTAATTAGGAGCAGAATTTAAATTAAATTAAATTAATTTAATTTAATTTAAAAGCTTGCCTAAACCATAAAATAAATGTTTGACTGAAATTTGAAAGTGCTATAACTTCTTTGTTTAACAATGAAATTTCATGTCAGCATCTAAAAGCAGGGATGAAAATTCAAGGTGGAAAAAAACGAGCAAGATGACTGTATCCAGATTCTATCAATCCACTCTTTATTTAAAATACCTAGTTATAAAGTTGCCAGTACCCTTAACACTGAAGGATATGTCCACAGGGTATACCAGAAATTAATTTTTCACATGTATGTGTTCTTGCTTTATTTATGCAAGACCTCTTTATGGGGCAAAAACTTGAAAAAGAATATAGAGATTCATTTTGATCAAATTATCAGAAGAAAATTATTAGCATTCTTAATGCAACACAGGTAATCTCTTAAACAGTTTTATCACATGTAGAACAGCCATTTTTTAATTTGAGAAGCATGTTCAGAGAATCCTATAACCTTTTCAGGGCTGCATAATACAATGCAAGTTATCTTAAAAGCAGTGCAGTCTTCTAGTATTATTCACATGGTATAAATATTTTTAATTAAATACTGAACAATTCAAATATTGTTTAACAGATTTTGTTTAGTAGAACAAAATTGGAGAATTGATAATACATTTTTGAGTAATACTGTATTGAACAGTGGCAAAATTGTAGAAAATATACAGCAGATACAATTTGGAAAACAGTTTTGCCCCTCGATTTGCATAAAGCAGTGAGGCATTTCTTTCTCTCTGTAAACATATGCACATATAAAAAGATATGCTTTCTTTCCAGGTTTTGAACACAATTGCAGGGAAGAAGCCTTGTCCTTCTTTGTGATATTTCTGTGGGTTATTTTTGGAACAGTGATCTGCAGAAGATTGGTTGGGAGATGGGGAATGAAATGTGCAATTCCAAATGTCTGCCAAACATTTGGAATATGCTTTTTTTCAGCACTGTTGAGTGCTTTTTCATAGTATCTTTGTCCATTCAGCAAACTGGAAGAAACTGATAGTTCATCCTTGCGATCTACCATATAAGGCTGCAAAAAATTTTGAGAATTGCAGTATATGTTGCAAGATGTACAGCACATTGGCTGTATATTGTTAATATCTACCTCAATGGATGAGGAGTGATATTTAACTGTTGCTCTGTTTCTGCTTGTAATCTTAAGAAATGTGATTAAATTATTCTTAATCTAAGATAGTTAAGACTTGAAGAAGTAAAGAAAAAGTATTGGGATACTTTCTTCATCTAGAATTAACTCATCCAATATAAATATTGCAAGAAAAATATGCTTTTAATTCCTAATTATTGGGATATGAGAGAGAGGGGTAGAAGCCAGGAGGAAGTGCTTGTTTGTGGTAGCCCCACATTATAGAACAGCTTCCCCATGGAAATTAGACTTTATATGTACTTTATATTGTTGTTTTATGTATACACTGCACAGTTGTATCAACATAAAAATATAATAAATATTTCTTATCAGGATTTAGCAGTGTAATGTTCCTCAGAATGATCTGCATATACAGTTACCTTTGTTCTTTATTTTCCATTATCATCATGGTCAAATTGTTAAAATACTAAGATTTTTTAGATCAGCTGATTGAGGTTATTAAATTCTTCAAAATAAACTGTCTACAATTTATCTTTCTTTGTGTATACACAAACACACACTTAATAAGCTGTCTTGGTCTTAGATTGTTCTGATGCTGGAAAAATTTCAATCAGAGTATTTCTGTAGGAAAAAAACACAAATGCCAACAGATTTAGCATGTTTAAATAGTTTAAAAAATCAGTGTTAGGATTTGATCATCCTTCATTTCAAAAAAATATAGACATCCCCTAAATTCCGCTGAAGATGTTACTTAGCCTGGTAAAGACACGTTGGAAACCAACCCATAAGCTCTGAGAACTCTAATACTCTAATAACTACAAATTTTAAGATCTATTTAGATCTGGACTTGACAAATCTTTTGACATCAGTACTATCTAATCCTGTTTAGATTTGTTTATATTTTAAAATAGCTGAGATATTTTATTTATATCCTGCTTTTATTATTTTTATAAATAAGATGACAAACACACAGTATACTCCTAATTTCTTCACAACAATAACCCTATGAGATGGGTTGGCCTTGAGAGAGCACAACTGGCTCAAAGTTGCCCAGTCTGCTTTCATGACTAGGGCTGGATTAGTTTCCTGGCTTCTGATCTTGAACCATTGGACCAAGCTAACTTTCTTAGATATCATACAAAGATAGGCAAAAAAAAAAAAAACAAAACCCATTAGTGAGACTTCTATATTCAGAAATCAAGAAAAACTGGTATTGCAATTGTTGGTGTTTCATGGCCGTGGTCAGTTGCTTCCCCCCCTCCATTCAGTGAAATATATAATTAGACAAATAGTAACTATGTGTTCAAAATGCAAGGAAGTGCTTTATATAAATATCTGAAAAATAAACGAATTTCAATTTTTTCTCACTTCATTTGACACAGTAAATTATAAAGCTGATATTTGTCTATTGAGATTGTCCAGCTCATGGGTCTCTTGCCCCATATACCATTGCAACTGGTGCAGTAGCTGAAGCTGTCATAGGTCTCTCTGGCCATAGCTTTCATCTTCTATTCAAGAAGGTGGTGTGAATCCTGAACGACCCTCAAACATGCTCTTTGATAGGTAGAGATTTTATACCAATGATCATTGTATTGGCAGCAACTCTTGAGTTCTGTTCTCTCCCATTCAGACCATGACAGTGTTTAGATCAGATATATCCAACCTGGGCTTCATGCAACATTAGGCAGTAATGCAGCCCCCACAAAATAATAAAAATATATTTTGAAATTAACTATATTATATATTTTATATGCGGCCCGAGACAATTCATTTTCACTCAGTGTGACCCAGTCAAGCCAAAAGATTGAACAACCATGCTTTAGATACTGGAAAGGATATTGACAGCATCTCCTTCAGGCCAAGGACAGTGATGTATAGTTAAGTATCAGCAGCATATTGATGATACCAAATCCCAAACAGCCAGATGACCTTTCCCAGGGTATTCCAACAGATGCTAAAAACAGGGAAGATAGGACTGACTCATAGTACCCCTCATATCAAGAGCTACAGGCCAACCTGTTTCCCCACAAGAAGTGATTTAACTTTCCACCCTGAACAAAGAGTGAAACTATTAGAAAACAACCTCTCCTATCCCAGGGAGTTCCATTTTGCTCAATGAAATTGTGCTCAATGATATCGAAAACTGTTGAAGAGGCCCAGTAAGACAAATAGGAACACACCACTCCTGTAATTGATTGAGAAAATATATACATATATAAAACAATCTGCTGCTAAATTAGTTTTCCTGATTTGAAGTTCAGCTTTATAATGTAGAATATATTCTGTTTACTTTGTTAGTTTACTTCTCCTTTGGAGTTTTGTAAGATAAAAAAATTAATTGAAAATTTTGATTGTATTTAAAGATAGTTGAATGCATCTAAATATGCTTGTAATCAACTCTTTTAAGCCTTTATTCCTTTAAAATCAAGTTTTAGTTTTAAATTAACTTCATATAACTAGTCGAAATCTTAGTCAAAGAAGAAATCACAATGATAATCTTGCAGTTGAATTTTTTTATTTTATTTTGTTTTCTTTCTTCTGTTAAATGAACAGGAGCTTGGCAGTGATGTGATTACCATACACACCATACACGCAGATATAATGGTGTCAGAATGCAGTTCAGAAAACATATACGCAGAGATCTCAGAAATTAATACAGTAAGTTGATGATAGTTAATCTGCACAAAATTAATAATTTATTCATTACTACATTTTAGAAAATAATTTATTTGGAAAAAATAGATCATAGAGAAAATTATAAGAAATGAGAATATAAATTAATTAGCTATTATTTCAAAATTGCCTTCTTACTTAACGTGAGACATTTTGTAATGTTGAAAAGCTTATTGCAATAACGGCCGTCTATATTGTGTGTTTTGAAATTTTATATGCCATATGCCCATATTGAATTGTGTATAATCTATTGTGAAAAATGTGGATTGATCACTTTGAATATTTATAAAAAATAAAGTTATATTTTAATCTGAAATACAAAGGACTGTAAGACAAAATAATTTTTTGTAATTATTTTATTCATTTATCACATTTCTATATCATCCATTTTACTAAATGACTGAAGTTTACAGTATTGTAAACCACCCAGAATACTAACAAGATTAATATTTTTTCCTATGTGTACTTCCTTAACATTGACTAAGTCAGATACCTGCCTTAAGAGATAGGCTTTTATGTTAAACAGTTTTAAGTCAAATGATTTAAAATATTTACATTAGAAAGGACAGCAGAATTTTAATTCTCGTATCCTTAAGATTCAAAATGTTTGAACATCCTTATACTGACTGAATTGGCAAGGAAAGCCGCTGAAGTTCAAGTGAAGAATTTATAATGCCAGATGTAACTTAAAATCACAATATGCAAGTATGTGAAGTTAATATACTTATGGAAATTATTCTATCTCTGAAAAGAAGTACTATCTTATTTTCAAATATAAAATCCTCCTAAAGCCATTTCTTAATATAATTGTATGCTTCCTTATCTCTACTTGCAACATGGTGTCAACTATGTTCTTATGGGTTGAGCAGTCCCAAGTCACAATCATAATCTATGGCTCAGAGTCATGAACATGGGGCATGATTCTGCCTAGACCCTCACATTTAGTGTCCCCTCTTCTTTATACCTTTGATAAGACTTTGTATAAATGGAGCATGACATTATTGTAAGAAAAGTAAAGTGTTGAATTACAGCTGTTGGCAACTCAATCGTACTATTTTTTCTACAACTATTTACTCAAGTATCAGTTATAATATAAATTAGCAATAGTGCAATCCCATTTATGTCTACCAAGACGCAACTTCCATTTAGTTCAGTGGGGTCTCTGCTCAGTTATGTACAAGATAGCAAAGTGAAAATATTTTCAAGGAGCTTTATTGGGTAGTAGAAATAGCTTTTGATTTTCAGTATGCGCATAATTGTATAGAATTTTTAAAGAGATAGTTTTATTCCTGAGTCTTCGGAGAGGGGCGGCATATAAATTTAATTAATTAAATTAAATTAAATTCATTCATTCATAATTTTCTAGCACGTATGCTGCCCAGTAACTGTGTATGAGTTGAGTGGCCATATAAATTTGTTTAATAAATAAATGAGGACCATCTTTTGTACAAAAATAGTTATACACCGGAGACAAATTCCTTGTGCATCCAATCACACTTGGCCAATAAAGAATATTCCTATTTCTAAAAATAGGAACAATGTAATTAAGAATTTACTGCCTGTTTGCTTTAGACTTTATCCTCATTTTTAAAAATGAAAATGTAAAATTCGTATATGGGTATTTCATAAAGATTGAATTGAACTAAAGAATAGAAAGTTTGTAGTTGTAATTAGGCAGAGATATTACAAAAAAGTCCCAAGATGACTCTCCACGATGGATGCCCTGATCAATCCCAATAGATGGAGAAAATGTGTAGGTATAAAGACATTTTAGATGAAGGAGGAAATCTTAAATCTAACAATGCCTTGAGAGAGCTAGGAATAAATTTAGATTGGTGGACCTATCTACAAATAAAATCCAGGTACCAAAAAGACAAAGAACAATGTGGCTTAGAACTAGGATATAACAGGCTGGATAAAGTCCTGATGAGAACAGGTAAAAAGATTCTGGCTAAATTATACAATTATCTATTAGATGAGGACAGAGCTGAGGTTATAACAAAGAACCAAATGAGTGCATGGGAGAAAAATATTGGACATGGCATAAATTTTAATGAATGGGAGGAGGCATGGAATAAGAATTTTAAATTGACCAGAGCTGCGACGTATAAGGAAAATCATTATAAAATGCTCCACAGGTGGTATTTAGCCCCAGCTAGGCTAGCAAAAATGTATCCTAACGTATACCCAAACTGCTGGAAATGTGGTTATGGCCAGGGCACCTTCTTTCTCATGTGGTGGACATGCCCTGAAGTGAAAGGATATTGGAGTAAGATTAGGGGATGGCTACAAGAAATAATTGGGGAAGATATTGAATTGACACCGGAAATATTTCTCCTGGGAATAGTAAAGAAGCCATATGGAAAGGAAAAGAATCATTTAATAATACATATAATCACAGCTGCTAGACTGGCCTACGCACAATATTGGAAAGAGAAAACCCAGCTACCAGAAGAGCTTATAATTAGGAAAATACTGGAGTGCGCAGAGATGACCAAATTAACCCATGAAATAAATGATGACGAGAATTCAGAATATTATACCGTGTGGGGAAGGTGGTATGACTGGATGAATGATAAAGTGAAAGAAAGAGAAAAAAGGTATGTTAAATAAAAGTAAAAAGTAGCCTAAGTGACACCAGGTATATATTCTGTATATATGTATAAACACTGCACATCCGATATTAATGGAAATGTTATTTTATATATAATAATAATAATAATAATAATAATAATTTTATTTCTATACCGCCCTTCTCCCGAAGGACTCAGGGCGGTGTACAGCCTGTTTAAAAACACAAACAAAACAACAATATAAAATTTAAAATAATTAAATAAAGTGGCTCAGATTTAAAACCCCAATAAATTTAAATATCCCAATTTAAAAACTATTGTGTTGTTAGTCCGGCCTGGCGGAATAATAGGGTCTTCAGTGCGCAGCGAAACGCCCGGAGGTCGGAGATCTTACGAATTTCCGGGGGCAGTTCATTCCACAGGGATGGGGCTCCCACAGAGAAGGCCCTCCCCCTGGGCGCCGCCAGTCGACATAACTTGGTTGACGGCACCCTGAGGAGACCCTCCCTGTGGGAACGGACTGGTCGGTGGGAGGCTATTGGTGGCAGAAGACGGTCTCGGAGGTCTCTGTTTATAAATTTAATAAAATTTCTTATAAAAAAAAAGAAAGTTTGTAGTTGTTTGTATAAAATGAATGTTGCATTTGATAGCAGTTAATATGCCTATAGGAAAATGTTTATTGTTTGTATATTAATCAGCTCTGAAATTGCATGATTTCACTATGTTTGCTCTCTTAAGCATGAATCCCTTCCACATTTTTCCCATGCCAGACCTTGACTTAGGCTTTTTTGCCATTTAAATATTATTAGTGCTGCACACTATTTTGTTGTTGTTGTTTTGCCCCTGAATTAAATTAGTATTAGATGTTAAATGGAATTTGCATTCTGAACAGTAAAGATTGCCTGGAAGTTGAAAAGTAATACAGTACTATCACAAGTTCTTATTATCCGCCAGTTTCATGGAGAATCTTACTGGTGATACATATTCATTTACATTCTACTTTTTCCATTCAATTAAATTCGCATTGTCTGAATATTGTCACTTAGTATTTAAATATTCATTCTTTATAAATTTATTAGATTCTTTTAAATAGCAGAAAATAAAAGATTCTCTCTTTTCAAGGAGTATTTAGAACAAAATAATTCTTGCAATGCTGCAAATTGGCAGAAAAGAATAGAAATAGAAAGCATAACAAAATTAAGTAAGGCTTATTATGTTTCTTCTTATAACTACCCTCGCTACCTTCTTTTAAACAACAAAAAAAGAATAAAGTTGCTTTAAAAGTTATAATGAAAAAAATGGATATGCTTCTGTAACCTATCTATTATGTTCTCTATTACAGGTAGTCCTCAACTTACGACCACAATTGAACCCAAAATTTCTGTTGTTAACGAGTCATTTGTTAAGTGAGTTTGCTCCATTTTATGACCTTTTTTGCCACAGTTCTTAAGTGAATCACTGTACTTGTTAATAACATGGTTGTTAAATGAATCTGGCTTCTTCATTGACTTTGATTGTCAGAAGGTTACAAAAAGTAATCACATGACCTTGGGATACTGCAACTGTCATAAATATGAGTCAGTTGCCAAGCATCTGAATTTTGATCACATAACCATGGGGGGATGCTGCAAGGGTCATAAGTGTGAAAAACGGCCATAAGTCCCTTTTTTCAGTGCTATTGTAACTTCAAACGGTCATTAAATGAACTTTTGTAAGTTGAGGTCTACCTGTATATACAACACATATATACAGGTATCAAAATTATTTTGTTACTACTTGGCATTTTTTTCAACATTTTTCAGAATAGTGTGCAAAATATATAACAAAAGAAGACTAGTTCATGCAATTTACGAGACCGCCTTCTGCCACCAATAGCCTCCCATCGGCCAGTACGCTCGCACAGAGTGGGCCTCCTCAGGGTGCCGTCCGCCAGTCAGTGTCGGCTGGCGACCCCCAGGGGGAGAGCCTTCTCTGTGGCGGCGCCCACCCTCTGGAACAACCTCCCCCCAGAGATACGTACAATAACAGACCTCCGGATTTTTCATCGGGCCCTGAAAACTTATTTATTTCAACTAGCTGGGCTGGCTTGATCCCACAGTTTTGAGTTAAATTTTAATTGATTTTAAATTGGGTTGTTTTAAATTACGGCCAAAAGAAACATTTAATCATTTTAAACTGCTTTTAAATTTTGTATGTTCTGTTTTTATTTCAGCTGTTCACCGCCCTGAGTCCTATTGGAGAAGGGCGGTATATAAATGGAAACAAACAAATAAATAAATAAAATAAATAAATTGAATATGGTCTCTAAATTATAAACAAAATAGATTTTTGACAGCCTGGAAATATTTGTGTCAAGATTAAAATTAGAGGGATTTCCTAGACGTGCCACATAATATACTCTGTGTATCTTGAATGCTCCTGGACATTGGACCCAATAATGTAGTTCTTGTTTCTCCATTACTACTAATCAAAAAGAAAAAGTTCAGTGCATAGTAAGAATAAGAAGGCATTCAGTGATATCTCTCTTCTACTTCTACTCAGCAGAATTTAGTTTCCTAAGAGACAACTATGAATGCCACATTATAAGATTACAGATAGTAATTTAGGAAAAAATTTCTAGATGTAAATCCTTTGAATTTGCTTGGATGTACTTTTTTTTTTGTACATAAAATGCAAATCAGTCGTCTATTTTGTAAATGTTATTTTTAGAGATTTTATCAGATGCTCTTTACTGAAATAAAGAATATTTTTTGAAATATGAAATAAACAAGAATTGTCTTGTTTAATTTCAAATTGGTGTGAAAGTGATTCATATTTTTTTTTGTCATAGAAATTTCCAGAGATGCTTAGAATGCTAATATAAGAAAAGTTAAAATTTGTCCTTCTCCCCAAGATGGCTGCTGAATGGTGGGAAATTTTCCTTTTCCTTCTGACGATCTGTTGATTTTGCTGCCAGAGTTGGTTCTCTGGCAGTGCTGCTTCCTGAATTTAAATGGGAGCACTTAGGAATTACCCAAAACAACTTTTGAATGGCCATGGACCCACCTGGGAAGGGGAATCTTGGAGATTGTGGGAGAGGTTGGAAAGTCATTGGGCAAATCCATCTTCCTTTCAGCAGTTTGTTTTCTAAGTATGCCTGGGTTTTAACTTAAACTTTGTGAATTTATTGTTTTATTTTGCTTTTTGTCTTAAAGTTGATTGGCTGGCTGAATGCTGATTTACTCTAATCCCCTGCTGGACTTTATCTGTTGTTGTTTTTCTTTTTCCTTCTGATTTATGTTGTTGTCTTGAATAACTTTCACTTTTCCGTATGGAAACACGGCATGCTTTCAGATGGTAAAGTCCTTTGATTTATATCAGTATTAGACTTTCACCACAGGGTTTCTGCATTTTATTAATTTATCAAATATTTGAAGTTTATTTTTTTACTTTTCTCTTAATTTTGGATTTAAAATATTCAGACAATATTTTCTTCACTCTGCTTCAGCTTCTTGGTTCTCTGCCTAACTCACACAGAGCAATAATGTATTGGATTACTGACAACTGACTGGTTGAAAAAAAGGTTTGATAATATTCAATCTTTAGTTGAAAATTTTTTTAAAAGTTTGATGAACTGATAATGACTGGAAAATATTCAGATGCATCTAGTATCTGGATAATTCAGATTCACAAAAGAAATGTGATTTGAAACTTCAGTCAATCTGTCGCAAAGAAAGTGGGACTGTATAGACTTAGAATTAATTCAGTTGATTGCATATACCACTTTGAACTTCAAGCCTGCAGCTTTTACAACATAAGGAATTATACTGCATGGAGAAGTGACAATTTGGCCTTCCCTAAGAGGATTGAAGGAGATTAGTGTGATTTATCACACTTAATTGGGAACCAATTTCATCTGGACTTGGTTGGGAAGCTAGACTGATTTTGGAGATTGAATTTATTATATTTAATCAGACAACAATTGATAAGAGGTGGAATTAAAAAACAAATGTGGATATTTGATCCAGGACAAATTACTGTTAACTTTTGGGAGGATTTGGAATGATAAGATGCCATAGAAAAATTTTTATGAGCTGATTAACAATTTGCTTTCAGATAATTTTGAAACTTTAACTTTGTCTTTTTAAATTATTATTGTTGTTCCTGTTAACTATTTTGTCATTAATATAATATATAGATGACAGGTTAGTAATTTGCAAATAGATTTAGTAATTTAAAAATCTTTTGGGTGTTTTTCATAAGGGGTGGGATAGTAATATTGTATCAATATTCAACAAGAGGGGATAATATCTATAAATGTTTTAATTCACTTTTTAAATGACTTGTTTGCTATGTTTTCTTTTTGTTTTGTTTGTTTTTTAAAAATCTTTTGGAGTTTTTTATTTTAATTTTTTAAATAAAATAATTTGATTAAAAAAGGAAAAAAGAGAAGTTATAAATTAATATTTCTCCATGTATTGTGAGACTCTTAGGATGATATGAGTGAACAACCAACATTCAGTTTGGCCTGAAAGTTGCTGTTGAATTGTCAATTTAAAAAAAAAATAATTTATATTGAAAATTTTGTTTACAGTGGTAAAAACAAATTTAAGCTAAACTTAAATTCAAATAAACTTTATTTAAACTTAAATAAACTTAGATAAAAAAAATTATATGTGTAGTCCTTGACTTAAAGACTACAATTGGGACTGGAACCCACTGAGCAATGTTGTCAATAAGTGAGTTGCACCAGATTGAATGACCATTTTTGCCATGGTCATTAGGCAAAATCTAGCTTTCCCTATTGACTTCTTGTCAGAAACAGACTGGGAAGCTCACAGGTGGAAATCAAGTGACCGGGACACTCCAACTCTTATAAATACTTGCAAATTGCCAAGCACCTGAATTGTGATCAGGTGACTGCAGGGATGCTGTAACAGTTGTAAGAGTGAGAACTGGTTATAAGTCACTTTTTTCAGTGTCATCATAACTTCAAGCGGTCGCTAAATATATGATTATAAGTTGAGGACTACCTGTAAAAGCTGCAAAAAAAAGTAAAAGGGGAAAGGGGAAAATATTTATTCAAGTCTTTAGCCACTCTTTTGTATAACTAATAGAATGCTCTTATTTAGGCCACTTTCTTCACTTGTCATTGGTGCTTTCACATTAATTGTTTTGTCTTACAGTCCATGCTATTTATTGTCCAGTAGTTTCAATATTTCTACATCAAACAAAATTTGTTCACTTTTTTATCTTGTAAATCTCTCAAAACATTCCCTTCCACATCTGTCATTTCTTAACAACTTTTGGAAATAATCTAGCCTTAGCAGCAGACATTGATATTGTGCCTGCTAATTTCTGATTCCATTCTTCAACAATCTGCAATATTTCGTATGTCATAATATTTTGTGTCATTTTGTAAATTAAACTAAAACCAAAGGGCAAATTTTCTTCCTGGAATCTTTAATCCCCTCTAATGTCCAGTTTCTGAAATCACAAAGTCTTGGATTTCTGTTATCACTTTGGATAGACAAAAGAGGTTTTTAGGACCAGTCTACTCACTGGTTCTTCGGTTTCTACCATGGTCATCATCTCAACTCATTCAGAGATGTGCTAGTTCACAATTGTTTCCCCTGAAGTCATTGAATTGTTAATTTTAATCTGACAGATGAGAATCTGACTAATCCCAGTATAGCCATAATTATTGTAATATATTATAATTTAGTTTAAATCAATTCAGGTTTTAGTTTTAGTCTGGGGCTTGCCTGTTTCCTTATCCTGCTCCTACATGCTTTTTGAAGTATAGAGTCAGCATGCTACTAAAAGCCTTTTTGCTTTTCTTTCTTTTTTGTTTTTGACCTAAATAAAGGTTGTACACTTCTTTTTTACTTATTGGAAGAATGCAACCCAATCAGGGTGGTAATATAATGCTTTTCACTATTTGGGTTGTCTCTTGGGGTTCTATGTTTGTGTCAGTTTTTATTTTAAAATGTTTTTAAACTTTTAAATATTTTTCTGTACATTTGCATAAATGATTAGTAAATAGTAAATTGTAATGTTGTTGTACTCTCTTCCACAATAGTAAACTGTGCAGGAAAATGGTATGAAAAGAAACACTGGATGAATGAATGAAAATCCCTGCTTTTCCACCCCTCAACATGGCAGGACTACAACTCATGACCCCAGCTTCCTCTCCAATGGGTCCTTTTTTTGGACTACCATGGCAACAAGAAGCAATTCATGATAACATTTACACACCAAGAAAATATCAGGTACTAAATGTAATGTTAATGCTATTTACAATGAAAATACGTTTGTGTCTTATATTTCTGTTAAATTATGTGTTCATTATAGATATTTTTGTCTCTAATTGTTAACACTAGAAGTAGAAAAGATATAGTCATCTCTATGTTACCATTTTGTGTCCAGGAATTTCAAGTTGAATACTGTACTATAGTATCTAGAAAGTGATACTATTATATCAACTTATTTGCCTTAATCAAAAGAACAATACATAAAATATAATGTTTCAATTGGGCTTTCCCATTTCCCTCTTGACATCAGGGAATTATAGCCCATTCCTAATAAATTATTATTGTAATGAGAAAGGTGGAGAGAGAGAGAAGAAAATTAACAGTTTTTATTCTTAGCTAAGTATAAAAATGACTCTTTGCCTTTTGTTTGAGTTGCATAATTTAGGATACATTATCTATTTTTAATCATAAATGTTGCTCCATTCTAATAGTCAGAATCGGTAGCTTGCTTGTTTGCAACCTTCGTTAAATCTAAGCACTCCTTTAAGAAGAAATGATTAGCCTGTCTTTCTTGTAGAAAATCCAAGGCATTTCTCAACCTTGACAATTTTCTGGCTAGGAATTCTGGGACTAAATGTCCATACATCTTAAAGTTGCCAAAGCTGAGAAGAACAGCTTCAAAATATGGAGAATTCCACTGGATGCTGGAATTCCAGAGGGCAAGAAGTGGATATGGAAACCATAGATTGCTTGACAGGGAGACATACCTATGGAGAAATGTGTTAAATTGCTCAGGCAAATTCTGTGAGAGACAGCAGTTCAGTCTAGTTGTAAGGGATGGCTCCTAAAGTACTCTTCTGATATTGGTTCATTCTCTCTGAGTGCCCATTAGGGGCCAGATCATTCAAGGATGGCAAATTAATTAGAATGTCTAATAGGTGAAAGAGAGTCTTCCAAAACGTAGGTGTAAACTGAGAACTGATATTACATGATTCACTAACAAACACACAAATACTCTGGTATCTAAAACCATAGTCTAGAAATAATGTTTCTTAAGATGTGGCCCTAGGACTTATGGAGATCCACAAACCCTCTCAGAGATCTGCAAAATCAAAATTATTTTCCAGCCTACATTGAAAAATAATACAACGTTGAAATCCTATCAAACAATTTTGACAAGTGGTAGTGGCAGAAAACGTGTCAGCTGTAATTTTCAATACAGTAAATATCAGTTAAAATTTTTGTAAAGAGTAGTTAATTAATGCACCAGGGAAATCGGGAAATCCAGTCAGTTCAAATAAATATAAAGGTTTATTGCAAGCTTAAGCTCTCTACAAGAATCTGAACTACTAACTGTCAAAGCAAGCTGGCGGTAGATAAGAGTCAGTGAAATTCAAAGTAGCCTGGACTTAGATCTCTTGTGGGCGCAAAGGAACTCAAGACTGATGATGCTTTTGATCTCTCTCGGGCTGAGCCCAGTTATCTCGTACATTTGGGTTTGGTAACAGACGTGACATCTACTATTATCCTGAACCAATAATTTTTGTGAAACAAGTGTTCATCATTCATGGAGAAAGTCTTTTAGTTCCCTGGTTGCCACATATATTGACCCCTGAAAAGGCATCCTGTTGTAATATAATCTAACTGCGAGATCTGTCATTGGCAAAAGCTAACTGCAGCCAGTGCAAATCACACAGGACTGTGTGATTAATACTGCTGTATTAATAAACCAAAATATTCTCATACCTACCTGAGCTGTTGTATGGTCAACCAGTTCAAGTTCTCCAGTGGTTTTCAAGGGCAGCTCTAGCTAGAACAAATTGCATTTGTCCCTCTATGAGATGATAAAGGCTGATACAGCTAAGAGCAAAGCTTCCTGTCCCAGAAATGGCTAGAAATAAGAGCACACGGTGTAATTGTTTTAAGCCCTCCCAGTCATAGCCTGCAACCGCTTTGCGAGCAGGACTCTGAATCCAGAAAAAATCCTCATAATGCCGAACCATTATATTTCAAGTGATCTATGACTTGAAAAGGACTTGATTGATTAGTGTGAAATCTTACTTATTCAAGGAAAAAATAAAAGTGTGTTTGTTTTAGGTGGAACTCCTGGAAGCAGCTCTGGATCACAATACTATTGTCTGTTTGAACACTGGCTCAGGGAAGACTTTTATTGCAGTGCTACTCATTAAAGAACTTTCTTATCAGATCCGGGAAGACTTCAACAAAAAAGGAAAAAGAACAGTATTTTTGGTTAATTCCGGTATGGATTTAATGTAATTTAATCAATAAGGAGATCATTTTTAATTTAAAAATAAAAGTAGACTGGAGTTTTAAAACAACAAAATGAAAAAATGTTTTGTTAGTAGGCAAGATGAAATTGAAACTGTATGGCTGTACGTGTTAAGTATTGAATATAATCATTCTGTGAGAAATAATCAAATTCAACTGAAAAGTGTCTACTTTTCATAGACCTTATATGGATGATTCTAATTGTATGTGTGTAAGAGAGCCAGTTTGATGTAGTGGTTAAAGCATCAGGCTAAAAATCAGGAGACCATGAATTCTAGTCCCACCTTAGTCACAAAGCCAGCTGGGTGATCTTGGGCCAATCACTTTCAGCTCTAGGAAGGAGGGAGTGACAAACTACTTTTGATAAACCTTGGCAAGGAAACAGCAGGGATTTGTCTAGTTAGTCTGCAAGAATCAGGCCATTTAACAAAAGAGATTAAAAAATTGTACATGTACTTGAGATTACACATCAAACTGTTTGTTTTACTATCCCTAACATGTTTTTTTCCCCTATAAAGCAAACCAAGTTGCTCAGCAAGTATCAACTGTTAAGACACATTCTGATCTCAAAGTGGGAGAGTATTCAAGTTTGGAAATAACAGAAGCATGGACAAAAGAAAGATGGAACCAGGAATTTGCAAAGTATCAGGTAAGGTATCTTTATATTTTTATACTATAAATTTGACACCATGATTAATTATATCTAGTAAAGAATTGTGTGTTATTTCAATAAAACATAACATAAATGTTCTTTGAATATGGGTAGAATAGAATCGGGAAAGGTAGGAGAACTGGCAATATTAAATATAGTCTTACCCATTTACGTGGGATATACAGTCAAAGTCTGTAGCTTACTCTATTGTATAATGTTATATGAAAAATATTAATATTTAAATAAAAATTACTTTGATAAACTTCCTAGTGGTTCTCTAGATTGCTCTTTCTATATAAACAGAAGCAAGGGTCTGGATTTGAAGGATGAGGAATAAGAAGCCCTAAAATCTGTTAGAAAGCCAGCGTAGTGTACTCCTTAAGGCACCAAGCTAGAGATTAGGTTCTAGTCCCACCTTAGGCACAGTTTTTTAAGAAGAGAAAAGTTGGTTCAGACGCACATTTTTAAAGGGGTTTTATTCTTAATTGGTATTTCTCTGAATCTGTGTCAATTAGATGTTACAGCAAAAATGTCTTGAGGTTTTTTAATCTAAGGTCTTGTTTTCTTTATAACATAATTTTAAAATTGTAGAATGGCAATCTCTATTTTGTTTCCTTGGCTTTCTTTAATAGGAATGAGTATTATAGAACAGCTCTACAAATATTGTCTAATTTGAAAAAGTAGGATGTTACTCAATTTGAGCAGCCTTTGAATAGGATTACAATGCATTTCACCTCATGTAGCCAGAAGTTTAAATAAAAGGCCAAATTCTGTGTTACAGACTGTTTTTATGTAGAAATAAACAAATGTTCAATGTTTAATATTGACTAAATTGAGTAACCTTTAGCTCTTTCCATAGCAATAATTTTATTTTTGTCTTACATTTTTTCAGGTTCTGGTTATGACCTGTCAAATCGCTTTGAATGTTTTAAAAAATGAACATTTAGCCCTCTCAAACATTAATCTCCTTATTTTTGATGAGTGCCATCTTGCAATCCAGGATCATCCTTATAGAGAAATTATGAAGGTATATTACTCAGTTAGGTATTGAACACTTAATCTTCAATTTTCAGTGTACATCAGTTAGGAAAAGTATTTATAAGATGTGCAGCACTACAAAGAATCTGAAAAGGTCCTTTGAAGCAGGCAACGAATACAGGTAGTCCTTGATTTACAGTCACCACTGACACCAGATTTCTAGTGATAAGTTATTACGGTCATAAGTCAAAACACCCACATGAGCAAAGCAGATTTTCTGACTTTTTTGCAGTGGTCATTAAGCAAATTACTGTAGTTATTAAGTGAATACACAATTGTTAAGTGAACATAAGAAGTCTATTCTTCTGAAGGGTGTTTATGTGCCAGAAACTGCACCAAAAGGCTAAAATGCAGTCTGTTGACTGCAGGGGATGGGACATTTTATAATAGCCAGAAGTATTTTATGGGCCCATCTTTAAATGGTGGTTATGTGACTGGTTCTAAGTCAAAGACTACTAACATACTGTTGGTTCTTCTTTGCAAAAGCACCTTTGTCTATGCCGGAGGACATTTTTGTCTTCAGATACGAAGGACTACATTCCTAACTATATAAAAGTTCATAGCCTTCCCTTCCAGTGTTTATCTACCACTTATGATGGGATATAAATTTTGGAAGAAGCACCCTTCCAATACAGAAATTGCAGTAATTAGCAAATATTGTTTACTATCAGGTAGTCCTTGACTTACAACTTTAATGGTGACTGCCTATTACAATCGTGAGAGTTGTGAAACAGGTCATCACATGACCAACCTGATTTTATGATTGTTTTTATAGCAATCATTAAGCAAATCACTCATTAGGTGAATCTGGTAATTAATTTAATGCTGCTGTCATTAAGGAAACCATTGTTCACTATGGGGCATTTTTGCAGAAAGCTAGAAGTAAACACCAATTTTAGCCAAAAAAGCATAATAAATTGCAGCCACATGACCATAGGGTGCTACAAATGGCCATAAATGTGGGCCAGTTGTCAAGAGCCCAAAATGCGGTCACATGACCATGGGGGACCTAAGTGTTCAGAACTGGGTCGTAAGTACCTTTGGTGAGGGCGATCTTCACTGAATAGTTGCTGACCGCTTTTACTTCATTCTCGACTTACTTTATGTAATTAGATACTGATATAGTAAAAATATATTGTTCATTCTGATAGCAGCTTTTCCACTGAAGAAATTAACAGAGTCTGTCTCCTGTTAAGATTCACAGGTGAATAGAGCATATGCATTTACTCAGCAAATTCTGCTAAATGAAAGAAGAATTGGGTCTATCTGAGCTGAATGGCCAGTGGCAAGCTATTTTTACAAGTGTGCAAAGTTATTTTTGTATTAATTCAGTAAAAAAAATGCTCCGGAGTATTCTTTGCTCTGGGTTTTAGGGGTAATATAAAATGGAATAAACATATTTATTTTGTTGATTATACTTAGTAATTGATGTTTGAAAGCTTTATTAAAATTATCTATTTGGAGAATATGATTTCTCACTGCCAAATGTTAAATAAAAAGATGTAGGGAATTTATTTAAGTAACCAAGATATTGCAGAATCTATAAAGTCATCTGTGGAACTTTAAAATAAGAATTGGACTTCCTCCTTTGGGACTACACAGTGGAATAAAACAGCTGTATTATTTTAATGCAGTCTCATTAGGAAGGCTGGGGGGGTGGGTTCACCTGTGGAATGGATACAAAGCCATTGCAAAATTCTAACTTCAGATTTAGTGTGTATGCCAAAATTACTATGTTTTAATATCAGCACAGGGTTAAACAAAAAACCTAAATCTATGTGTAAACAGTAAATCAGTTTCTTGTTTTTCTCATATTGCTCTGGCATTCCTTTTCATATTGAAAAAGAGCTATAGAATTTCAGTTTGTTATTGAATTCTTTCTTATCCTATCCTTGTATTTGAATGCACCCTTGTATTTCCTTATGATTTACTTTCAGCTTTGTGAGAGTTGTCCATCCTGTCCTCGAATCTTGGGATTAACCGCTTCCATTTTAAATGGAAAATGTGATCCGGCAGAGTTAGAGGAGAAGATTCAGAAACTGGAGAAAATTTTAAAGAGCAGTGCTGAAACAGCAACTGATTTAGTAGTTTTGGACAGGTATCTTGCCACATATTTGACTGAATGTTGAATGTCATTCATGAACATTTATATGGAAAGGATGAAATGATTGTATATATCTAGAATGTCAGCATTTTGGTTTTGATTATTTTTTAATGGAATTTTAAATCTCTTGATAATGTCAGCTTGCGTATTGTATCTTCACAGTCTCATAGTTTTTAAATACCATGCAATGTCTTAATTATTAATGTTTTGCATTTATCAACTCTAAACAATTATAATTTTTTTTTCTTATGGTATAGATATACTTCTCAGCCATGTGAGATTGTGGTGGATTGCGGACCATACTCTGACAAAAGTGGGCTCTATGAAAGACTGTTAACAGAGTTGGACGATGCGCTTAGCTTTCTGAATGATTGCAACATATCTGTACATTGTAGAGAGAAAGATTCTATCTTAATTTCTAAGCAGGTATAGACAATTTATGCATCATTATATTATTAAAATTGCTGTACTATATTTTAAGACATAATTTCACATCAATTTTCATCTTCATAAATGTTTCTTCATTTATACATCATGATTTTTGTATTAATAGCTAATTACTTTAGGAAGTTAAGATAAACTCTGTAAATCTTAAAGATCAAACCTGAGAATTTAAAAAATATGTAAGAATTGTACTTAAGATTAAGTTAGAGACAAGTTGCAGAATTCTCTCCTAATATTTTACTAGAAGTGGTCAAGAAACAATAATATGAAATGTCTAATTTTGGTGGTGAATTAAAAAAAAAAATCTGGATTCTCTTGTTTGTTTTTAACTAGTTGTTGTAAAATGTGTTCCACGTTGGGCTAGCTTGTTTTTTAAATATTAATTTTAGGATATGCATATATAGTTATTTATATAATTAGCCTGGTGGTTAAGGTGCCAGATTAGAAACTAGGAGACTGTGAGTTCTAATCTTGCTTTAGGCATGAAGCCATCTGGTGAATCTAGCTCAAAACATGAGGCTCAGGTGAAAAGCCAATCAGTCAATTCCTGTCAGAACCAATGGATCAACACCCAGTTTATCACACACACACACCCAAAAAAAGCAGACTGCACTTTAGGAAAACTGAAGGAAAAAATATCTATATAAGTGAACTATGGCAACTGAGTTCCCTTAAACATGCAGGAATCCAAACTAGGAGGACAAAAGAAATTATTTGATATTCATACATTCTAAATCCATTCATTACCCCAGTATTGTGATGTATTTTTCCTCATTTTTTCTTGCATATTCATTGTTTATTCTAGTATCTATACTAGGTTGAAAAATCATGTTAAAACTCTGATGTGAGTCATATTTGATTTGTATTAGTAATAATTTACTCAATTTCAACCTCATGAGAAATGAATATGCAGATATACTCATTACTGATACCCTTTTGAATGCTTATGAAATTAATTACTGATTAAACTAATAATAGAGAATATATACAAGTGCATTTGGGTGCTATATTGAATTGATATATTTTTCTTTGGTTACAGATACTGTCAGACTGCCGGGCAGTGTTGCTTGTTCTGGGACCGTGGTGTGCAGATAAAGTAGCTGGGATGATGGTGAGAGAGCTACAGAAGTACATTAAGCATGAGCAAGAGGAGCTGCACAGGAAATTTTTATTGTTTACAGATACTTTCCTAAGGAAAATTCATGCACTCTGTGAAGAGCACTTCTCACCTGCCTCACTTGACCTGAAATTTGTAACCCCAAAAGTAATAAAACTGCTTGAAATCTTGCGCAAATATAAACCCTATGAACGGCAACAATTTGAAAGTGTTGAGTGGTATAATAATAGGAATCAAGATAATTATGTATCTTGGAGTGATTCTGAGGATGATGATGAGGATGAAGAAATAGAAGAGAAAGAGAAGACAGAGACTAACTTTCCTTCTCCGTTTACCAATATTTTATGTGGAATTATTTTTGTGGAACGAAGATACACTGCAGTTGTTTTAAACAGGTATATCTCTTTAATAAAACAAAAAGTTTTGTATGTAGCAAAAGGGCATAGTAGTAATCTGGAATAACTATTCAGCCATTCAATAATACACATACTAATCACTTAAAAAAGGATACATAGACCCACAGAAATGTTCTTTATTGTTTTAAAATCTCATTTAGTGGTGGGTATTCCTATTTTGATATATTCCTACAGTGAAGAAACTAAAAATTGAACTTAAAATTTAAATTTTCCTTTAAGAAAAATCCCTAGGGCAGAAAACTACCATTCTTTGCTTATTTCTCTTCAGCATAGTAATTCTAGTTTACAGCTTTCTATGGCTCATTTTGTTCATTATTATCAAAAACACCTTGGCCTTGTATTTGAAAAGGCCAACAGCTTCAACTGGTTAAGGCACCCAGCAAGAAACCAAGAGACTAAGTTCTAGTCCCACCTTATATATGAAAGCTGGATGGGTGATTTAGGGCCAGTTACTTGGCCCAATTCATCTTGCAGGGTGGTGTTAGTAGGGAAAATAGGAGAAAGTATTAGATATCTTTACTGTCTTGAATTATTTAATCATATTTAATATAATTAATCATAATATAACTATAGTATAATATATAGAAATAAAATAATATAATTAATGTAAATGAATATAATTTAATATTTAATAATAAAGGCAGGATAAAAATGGCTATGATGATCTCTGCTATGTTCTACATTCCTACAAAGAATTGTTCTGTTTCATATTCAAGTTCATTATCTTATTTCTTTGGCTGAGACAACAAATAAATTGCTATAATGAATATTTCTCATTTCTGCTCTCTTGGTTGCTAAAATTTCCCCTTATATAGTCAGCCTTATGGCTCAGCCAATATGCATTTTCTCAAAAGCCAGATAATTAATCAGAAATTTATATGTAGTATTCTATTTGTTTCACATGAAAGAAACAACCAGAAAGCTTGGAAAAATCTGAGAACCTGTAAGAGTACAAGCCTGTTTCATAATTAAAAAAAAAAGTCCTAAAGGAAACTCCAAAGAGAACCAATTAAGAGTATGTTGAGTCACAAAAGAATGCTAAATGGTAGACAAGAAAGCAAATGAACTGAGTGTCTGTAGCAGGGTTATGTAGTTCATGCAGAATCCTCATCATCTTGAGAATAATTTTACAACAAGAAGTTTTAATTATAAAATGGCTAATTTAATTTTGGTTTTAATTTCTACTTTTTATATTTATTTTTCTGAAGTTATTCTGGCCAAAACAAATGTATGTTTTTCCCGATTCCTGATTAAACCCAGTTATTGTGAATTACATGAAACTCTTATTAATATCCGTATTTCAGGCAAAAAGTATGAAAATTAATATTTTAAAGATTTGTTTTAAGTAAAAATTATCTAATTTGGGGAAAGTCCTTTCGTTTGTGTGCATATACCTATGAACATCTGCAGAAATGTGCATATGTATTTTTATTGTTCACTTTATGCCACAAATCAGAAAAATTCTTAAAAGATGTCAGATATCTTATTTCTGAAGAAACCCTATTTCTGTCAGTTTCCCATAATTTTTTAATCTAAAAAATTAAAACTTCACTAGATTTTTAGGAAGATTTTAACATACATGAACCATGCTTTTTTATATTAACTTTTTTGTTTCACCTGTAAGATATATGAAAAACATGTTCAACGTATAAGATATGAAAGACATATAAAACATTCTTTGTCAGTGGACTTGAGTTTAAATAACTTTAAAAGAATGAATGCAACCTGTGTATATATCCTGGTAAGAAAATCAATTACCATACTTCTTTTTTCAGTATTGTATATCTCAAAAATTCTTATATTTTTTTTCAACTTCATGCATCTTCCAAAATATGTGTAATATATTTAGGTTGATAAAAGAAGCTGGCAAACAAGACCCAGAGCTGGCTTACATCAGCAGCAATTTTATAACTGGACATGGCATTGGAAAGAATCAGCCCCGTAGCAAACAGATGGAAATAGAATTCCGAAAGCAGGAAGAGGTAACTTTAATGAAAATAATTGTATATAAATGTGGTGTATTTTCTTACATTAGAACACTTCATTAAAAATTCCTCATCTTGAATGTTGTGAATATCAGTATATAAAAGGAATGTATTTAAAGCTTCTGAAATAAATTGTATATCTGTATTTTAAAAAATAGAAAAGTAAGAACAAGCATTCATACCTTCTTTAATGATAACATTTGACTTAATATTAAGAATTAAGATTGTTGTTGGAAATATTGTAGTGTAAAACAAATATTTTAGCAGAAATAGCTGCTGTTTCTCCTCCTCTGTTCTGTAATCCAATTTGCTGTTCCTGTAAAATTAGTGTAAATATCCTCTTCCCACAATTTGTGGATTGTGCACCAACCATACAATCCATATGGGTTCCTGAATTAGCCTCAGGACAATTTGGAACTATCTTCCATTTCTGATTTCATATTGAAAGCCCATTGACTAAGATTAGGAATATCTGTCTCTCTCTCTCTCTCTCTCTCTGTGTGTGTGTGTGTGTGTGTGTGTGTGTGTGTGTGTGTGTGTACGTACGGACATCTGTGCTTGTAGTACACGTGGCTCTTTTATCTCAATTTTCTATTCTTGAGAGAACCAGATGCAATTTGCAGATAAAACTTTTCCTTGCTGAGATCAAGCTTGACAATTTCACTTATTGAGATGAGGTTTTATACTCTTATGTTTTTAATGGTCAAGATCAGATACAGAATAGAAAGCTGTAAAATAATTCAGGAGAGTTTTGACATGTGCGATTGATTGTTTTCCTTTCTGTCATAGTTCCTTTTGATGGGGTATATTATATATTTAAAATATTCTATCTTCACTTGTCCCTAAAGCAAACAATCTATAAAATCTTACTTTTTCCAATTGGCATCAAATTTGAATGGATTGTGGCTGTGGAGCTCTTACAGAGGGACTTGACAATTCCAACGTTTTTCTAACAAGCATCCAGTTCTACATTTCAAGATCTGATGACCCCCCTCAACTTTTTCTCATGATTCTGCTGCTGGGAAGGAGAAGAATCAGAATGAATACCAGTGTGTCATGATACTGGAGGACTAGGTGCTGAAATGGTCTGGTGATAGAAAACAACATCAATAAAATCGTGATTAACGATAGGATCTACGCCTATAATTCTCCTCCACCTCCTCTCCTCCTCCAGTGTTTTCATTATTCAGAATGGTTAAGCAGAAACCTATCCTATTTTGAATAATTATCGTAGGACTCTAGTCCTCCAATGCTAAATGAAATACCAGAAATGTTCCGATTCAATTCACTTTAGAAGAGTTCTGTTTCTGTTCATGTATTTTCTATTTATCCAAATAATTAACTCATTCATTTAACTCTATTTTGTTCGTGTCACATAATAAAATATAGCTACCAGGCTGACATTTTTAGTCCAGAAAATGTGGTTAGCTAAGCATCAGCTCTAAGAATTTTTAAACCATTAAACTTGAGTGTTAAGTGTCCATTTGAATGAGACTTACATGCTATTTTATAAAATATGAGTAGATGTTTAGAAAACTAAGTTTGTTTGCTTTTTTATTACTTTAAATACTCTTAGTTGCTAGTTCACTGAACTGAAATTTAAGGATATTAGAACTACATTGGCTGCAGCATTTTTTAATTTTACTGCTTCTGGGGAAATTATTTTTGCTCATTTTGCTCCATTTTTCTGGAAAATGGAAATGATTAATATTTTAGTATTAACTAATATGAATCATTTGAAATAATTATATTTCTGTAACCAGACTTTGTTCATATGTAGTTAAATACAGTTCAGAATTGCCATTATTAATAATGTTATCATTAATGGCAGAAACTTCCAATGCAGTTCTTTAAATGAGCTTGTTTCAGTAAACTAGAAATGTATTTTAGTGTTTGGTATATTTTATTTTTCAAATGAAGCAAATGACAGTAAGTGAAAGAACCAATGGGTACATAGATGAGAATATAGCACTAGTCTGCTACTCGTTAAAGCTGCCAGGAAATCTCAGGAAAAGAGACGGTGCTTGAAACACCTTTTTGGAATTAAAGCTGCACTTTGATCAAATTGTAGGAATGCTTTCTCTGTCTTCAGTGACAAGAAAATCTGGAGAGTCCTGGGCTTACATTTTAGAATATATTGAATTTTAGACAAGTGACACTTAAGTGGATTCTACACAAGCGTTTTAAAGATAATGTAGCATCAATTGGGGAACAAAAACAAAAACTGATATTAAGATGTGAACTAAAGAATTTATAAATTATTTTCCTAAAATTAACTATTCTCTAAAATTATAACCTGTTATCTTTGTATTTCTATAATTTTTAATCTTTTAAAAATAATTTTATTGGAATTTTTAATTTTATTGAGGAAGAAAATCAAAATACATTTTTAAAACTATAACTTTTATACCAAACCATTGGAGTATAAGTAGAGTTCTGCAAGTATTGGAATATTAAACTTTTGTGAAGATAATGGCTTTACAACAGATGGTCTTAGAAATATGTCTTCTTGGTTACTTTGTAGGTTCTTAGAAAATTTCGAGCACATGAAACCAACTTGCTAATTGCAACTAGTATTGTAGAAGAGGGTGTTGACATACCAAAATGCAATTTGGTGGTTCGTTTTGATTTGCCCACAGAATATCGTTCCTATGTGCAATCCAAAGGAAGAGCCAGGGCACCAATCTCAAACTACATTATGTTAGCTGATTCAGACAAAATCAAATGTTTTGAAGAAGATCTTAAAACCTATAAAGCAATTGAGAAGGTATGTGACAAAGAAGTCTATGTATGTCACTGACTTATAAAGGAATTGATGGAGGTGTTTGTTTGTTTATTTGTACAAGTGTTATCCTTTTCCACTTCCAAATACCAGAATGGCTTGCAGTATTAAATATTAGAAAATTAGAAACAAAAATCAATTGATACAATTAGCTTGATGCAAGGTAATATGATCTTACTCATCCCAAAATGCTTTTAAAAACCTGCTTTTATTGTTCTAAAAATGTAAAATAGTGATTCAGGAATTTAGTTATCAATCAGTTTTTCTTAAAAGTGGAAGAAATGCAAAGAAATAACGAGATCCACACCAGAAGATCCACAGAAAGATGACTAAATACAGTAAGAAAGAGAGATAGGATTTTCAGATGAATTAATAACTAGTTATTAGACATCACTATACTGGTTCCATCTTTTTTTATATATTTATAAAGTTAAAACATATTTTTATTCACATGCATACTCTGTGTTTTAGAAGTATTTTGAAATCAGCAATTTGTGCATGCACCAGTTGGAAAGATAGCTGGGAGTAATTTCTGAAGCAGTTATGCCAGCCTTTTTAAAGACACAAGTGGTTTAACTATTGTAAAATAGTACTTCATATTGTTTCTGCATATTCCAAAGCAGTTCTTTTGAATCATTTAGAGAACTGAAATATTTATAAAAATTACAGAAATTAATTTTTATGCTAATACTCATAAAATAGTACACAAAAAGATTCTGATCTATTAGTTATCCTTTTTCCAACAAGCCAAATAATTTGAACATTAATTGTCGCTGAGTCAGTGTTGTTGGTTTCTTTTTCTTAGCTGAAATGTACTTTATTATTTATTTATTTATTTATTTATTTATTTATTTATTTATTTATTTTATTCAATTTGTATACCGCCCTTCTCCTAGTGGACTCAGGGCAGTGCACAGCCAGAACTAAAACACATACCAATACAAAATGTAAAATTGTTAAAAGAATTACATACTTTGGCCCAAATTTAAAACAATTCGAATTAAAACCCATTGACAAATTAAAAGCTAAAAAACTAAAAAAAAATGGGGGGGGGTTCACACCATCCCTGCTTGATGGAAAAGAAAAGTTTTCAGGGCACGGTGAAAGACCCGGAGATCCGATATTCTTCGTATCTCCGGGGGCAAATTGTTCCAGAGGGCAGGAGCTGCCACAGAGAAGGCCCTCCCCCTAGGGGTCACCAGCCGACATTGCCTGGCTGACGGCACCCTGAGGAGTCCCTCTCTGTGGGAGCGTACTGGTCGGTGGGAGGCTATTGGCGGCAGAAGGCGGTCCCTTCTGGGTAATGTTGGTGTGACCTCTTCCATACTAGTGATTGTGATAATTCTTCCCTTAAAAGGGCTGAGAACTAATAGTTACTAAAGATATAGCCCATAGATAATCCCATTCTACCTTAATTATTCTTAAATATTCTGTATCTTTCAATTTTGCTAATAATGCTAATAATGTTTATCTCAAGGCTGAATTTATATAATGTTCTTACCATTCTCTATTAATTGGTTTTTTAAAAGATTCTGAGGAACAAATGCTCGAAATCTGTTGATATTAGTGAAACAGAAAATGAGCCTATTATAGATGATGATGACATCTTCCCACCATATGTGTTGAGGCAAGAAGATGGTGGTCCAAGAGTCACAATAAACACTGCTATTGGGCACATTAATCGGTATGGTGACTATTGTTTCCCTATTTAGCTCTATATTTTATATGATATAAAGCAGTCTTTAATTAAGTGCTGGTAACTATCTGTTTTAAGCATTTGTCTATTTTGGTTAAACTAAGGATTTTATGTCTTACAAGAAGTAAGACAACCAAATCCATTTATTGATTCATTATTACTTTTTCTGAAATATATTTATTATTGGAGAATAGGGAGGGAATAAAATGGAAGAGGTATCAATGTAATTTTAAAGCAAATATTTCTGTAATATGAGGTTCTTATTTCTTTCTGAGGTTGCTTGATTGCTTGTAGACATTTTATTACATGATTAGATAACATCATCCGTGCTGCACTAATGATGTTGGGTATTGAAACGTCTGCAAGCAAACTAACAAACAGATTTAGCCCTTAGCTAAATCTTGGGATAATAGTGGATAGTACAGTAAGAATGCCAGCTCTGCATATAATAGCTATGAAAAAGGAGTAGTTCATATTATGACTAATTGAAAAAAATAAAAAAAATATTACAATTAATGTTATGGGAATTATGTTCATAAATTAAGAACTTTTTATAAGAAACATTTTTACTAAAAAAGGTAGACTAGTGGATTATTTAGCTGAGAACAATATTGGGTACATGTTGGGCATTTCATAAAACAATTCATGACATGGGAAAAAGTAGACAGAATTTTCCCTTTCTCAAAATACAAAAAAATATTTACTGTGGCTGATTGAAAATAATTTTAAGACGACCGTTCACAGGACAAACATACATAATTATATTCAGGATATAATTAATTCCTAATTATATACTATATGAAGTATGTAATTCATACTTAATGTGTTGGCCTCTAAATTGGATGGTTTTAAAAAGGGGTTAAGTTCATTGAGATGTGAAGGGCTATTGATCTTGAATTTGTTGCATCTAAGTTGTGAGGAGCATCCACCAAGTACTATTTCAAAGTGAACAATGTTAGAAGAAGGGTAGCCTCCTTCCTCCTTCCAAGCAACTTAGAGGCAGCTGCTTGACCACTATGAGAAACAGAATATTAGGTTGAGAGGGTTCTGGGTATATTCAATAAAACTGATCTTGTATAGACACTTGCCATATTTTTTCTGGTTTAATGTGATATTACTCAATTAACAGATACAATTTTCCAGGGGATATCCATTTCAGTCTTGGAAACATTCCAAGATTCTCCTGTTTATTGTCTTTATTATCAGTCTGCTTGGGAGACTTGTACAGTATTATATTTAAATCAAACCATTTAACTGTGGATGGAATCTTAGAAATAATTGCAAACTATTGACTTATCCATTTGCCTGTTGGTTTCTGTTAATATGTGAATAGCTATAAAAAGTCACTTGCTTTTTTAAATGATCTTTATTTTTTTAAATGTGTCAAATAGGTATTGTGCTAGATTACCAAGTGATCCATTTACTCATCTGGCTCCGAAGTGTAAAACTAGAGAGCTTCTTGATAACACATTTTATGCAACACTTTATCTGCCTATCAATTCTCCTCTTCGAGCATCAATAGTCGTAAGTATTTTGTTTGTTTAGACTAAATAAATTTTGAGTGACATGGCTTGCAACTTGTTTTTCTTGAAGTGCATAACTTTCTGTTATATGAAAGGTTTACTCTGCTAAGTAGCTGGTCCATGAAATTTATATGACTACAATATTTCCAGGTATCTCAACTGGAAGTTGATCAGTCAAATGGGGTATACAGTAATTGAGGTCTTGAAAGCATTGAAATATATATACTGTTGCAAAGAAGGAGGTTTACTTTCTTCTCTCTATTTGAATTAAACTACCGTGTTTTCCCAAAAATAAGACCCTGTCTTATATTTTTTTGAACCCTGAAATAAGTGCTTAGCCTTATTGCCCTGTGCTCAAAAGCCCGATTGGGCTTATTACCAGGGGATGTCTTATTTTGGGGGAAACAGGGTATTAAAGCTTGAATGACAAAAGATTATGTGCAAAAGTCATAAGAAACTCTAGGGCTAAGTAATATTTTTTTTTTATTAGCAGTAGGGAAGCATCTTAGTGTTTATTCAGTCTAAATAGTGATATTTTTTGACCTTTATAATAACCTGAAATATATTTTTTGCAAAACAATTATTGGCTATATTTGGAATATATAAATAACATCTGTTCTATGTATAGATGTTATTTTATGTTCTTAAACCTGTCCTTTATACAACACTTACATATTTTTTATGCATAACAGTCCTTAGTTATTAGAGAGTCAGTATAGCATATTAGTTAAGGTGAACGTCCAGGTGTAAGTTCATCCCAGCCATGCATGCTTATTGGGTGACTTTGAGCCTGTTAGGCTAAGCTGCTGCCCAGTATTGCTATTGCCGGGGGTGGGTGGGTGGGAGGGTCTCGAAGAAAAAAATGCTATGTATTTCACCATGAACTCCAGAGGGAAAGATAGGATATTAATCTAATAAATAATAACTAAAATGTGAAATGAAAAAAGCAGTAAATTGATTATTATTTATTGATAGGAAAATTTTAAAGATGTGCTTCAAATTTTATTTCCAGGGTCCTCCAATGAGTTGTGCGAGATTAGCAGAAAGAGTTGTCGCTCTTATTTGTTGTGAAAAATTGCATAAAATTGGTAAGTATAACTTTTAGAAGCAATATCATTTATTTAAAGAACGTTTGATACTATCTTGACACTTATTGTGGGGTTTTTTTTTAATGTAGAGGGAAAGAAATATCTGAAAATGCCATTTTAGTATTTTTGGAACTGGCAGAATTAGTTTTTACTAATGGTCTTCTTTAAAGTCACTTTTATAGTTTTCTACTAACCATCATTTTCATATCCAACCTTTGCACTTAGTATTTTTCTCTGATGGAAATTCACGCATGTAATTATAACAAGAGTATCTAGTATCATGTGTGCTGAGTTACTTGAATTCTTAACACAATTTGGTTTTCACACTCTTGGTCCTGGCAGACGATAATAACCAGTATGAAGAAAGTCTAGTATTTACTGTACTGACAATATTGGCGATAAGCTTAATTCTCTGTATTTTCCATATAGATTCACCTTTGACCTCCATCAATTGTTTAACTGGCTAATATGGCTATGTAGCTCCACATTTATTTACTAATTTTCACATTATTTGCTACTTTCTTTTCATCCTACACAATACAAAAATTGCATTAAATATGAGACTGATTTGTCTCCCAAGCCTGACATCAAGGGCTGAGAGACAGTGACTAATTCAAAGTCACCCTGCCACCTTTCATGCCTAAGACAGGACTAGAACTCTCAGTCTCCTGGTTCCTAGCCTGATGCCTTAACCACTGTGATGTCAAGCTCTCCTGACCAATTCCCAATTGCCTTCTCCTCCTGCAACTTCTGTTTATGATACTTAATGTTATTAAGATCCCACTGTGGAACTTAGTAATATCTAATTATTTGAGGGGCTCAGGTTTCTTATTAGAAGAAGGGATAAAGAATGCTCAGTTTTGCACACTGATCAGCATTCTCAAGTCTCAGAGAGGACAAAATCCTATATATGTTTATAGGTGGTAAGATGTTCATTGAGAATTTCATTGAGTTATTTCAGACTAAATATGAATAAAATCAAGCTGAATTGACTCTTTCAGACTTAACACTACATATTGATTTGTAAAGAATAATATTGCATTTAATGTTCTAAGAATCTTGACAAAGATCCTCATTAATTTAAACTTAGGCAGTTTCCTTTAATTACTGCTGCAGTAACTCCATTTTAATGAAGAGGTTGTTATTTTTTATTCTTTTATTTATACTTTGTATATGTTTGTCTAAAACAGGCGAGGAAGTTTAGACCAGTCCCTCATGATTTTATACATGCATATTATAAAAGACTGGATAAAAGTTACTTTATGGATGAGGAAATTATTTCTTAATTATGGAATTACTTGATTTATAATTTGTTCTTTATTTATATTTTAGGTGAACTAGATGATCACTTGATGCCTGTTGGAAAAGAAACAGTAAAATATGAAGAGGAACTTGATTTGCATGATGAAGAAGAAACCAGCGTTCCAGGAAGGCCAGGTTCTACAAAACGAAGGCAGTGCTACCCTAAAGCTGTTAGTATAGTTCTATGGTTTTGCTATATGTGACTGTATGAAACAAAATGTTGTAAGTTATAATAATTATGTAGTTACCAAACACATAAAAAGTAACCAAAAGATCTTTACAATTCCCAAGGTGTTAATGTCACAACTTTTGAACACCCCTAATGTTTCAAAATTGACAGTTGAAAAATTTGAGACGCCCTATGTATGTTTAAGATTGTTCTGACTTGAATAGAAGTATACTGATTCTTTAGCATCTGTGCTAATCAGAGGATCTTGTAATAATGAAAAAAAATGTTTGTTGTGGACTGGGGAGAGCATGTACACTTCTACATCACAATAAGAAGGATAGAATAAGATTTCTTATATGTGATAAGACAGTTTTTTCCAGTGGGACCAAAAGGAAATGCTTGAATAAGAAATTTGGATGCACAAAAAGACATGTTTTTCCATTTCACACCTGCATGACTTTCATTATTTTCTCATTTATACGTAAATTACAGTGGAGACATAATAAAATGGTGTTTAATTTTTTTCTAGTATGAGATGAAGCATTATCTTTGGTGTCATATGACTACTGAGGAATATGAATGCTGTGTGCTATTTTTTATGTCTGGATAAAAAATAGGATACAGAATCAGTATTTAATCATTCATTACTATACTGAAGTCCAGTATTGCAGCCACATGATAGTTGCAGCTTTGGATATAATGTGGTTAAGGAGAAATTGTAGAATAGAGGACTGTACTAATTTGTATTTGAACATATAGCACTTGTTAACAGCAATTCAAATCAAATGCATTTGTTTTAGAATTAGGAAAAAGCTTGGGAGGTCAGCTCCACAAGCCAAGGAGAAGAGACATCATATTTAAAGAGTTGCCAACTAGTGCTATCTGAATATCTGCCTTGAGCCTGAGTTTTTGTCTCTTTGAATCTGGTTTGCTGCCTAGTCCCTAGTAAGGTATACTATTTGGGGGAAATATTCAAATGCTATTCTAGGGGAATGAAAAGAACATGGTATAATCCAAAAGAGGCACAAATTAAAGTAAATGTGTTTTTTGGATTTTGAAGTGTTCTAAACAAATGGGAAACATCAGGTAATAACACTTATGTGTAAAATCTCATTGTCAAATTTGAAGCTACTTTTACCGGTAGTTAGGATTAAGTTATGTCTATAACGTATTAGATCCTTGGTCTATCCAGCATTGTGACAGCAATAATACAAATTTCAAGCAAGAGGCCTTTCCTAGCCTTACCTGAAGAAACCAGGACTGAATTTGTAAATTACAAGAATTTTAATTATGTTACCTTTTTGTCCAAAATAGCTTAAATAGCATCCTTGAAAAGGCTCATTAACTTTCTGAATTTTATTATTTTCTAGACTGGAGCCTCTTACTTCATTCCATTTTGGTTCTTTAGTTTTAATTATTTATTTATTTATTTTTTGGGGTAGAAACTGGTTTCAAATGGTTTCATGATGTAGAAACTGTGCATCAACTTTTTAGCTGCTAGTTATATAAATCAATAAATCACTGACAACTTGTAATTTAATCCTGCATTCTATTTTTTTAAAAAAAATATGTATATGCAGAGATAATTTATTTAAAAACTGTATTGTTTCTATGCATCACTAAAGACAATTTTTATTTAAAAAGCATGTTTGTTACACTATGTCTATAGATTCCAGAATGTTTGAGGAACAGTTATCCCAAACCTGATCAACCCTGTTACCTTTATGTAATTGGTATGGTCTTAACTACTCCTCTACCTGATGAGCTCAACTTCAGAAGACGAAAGCTATATCCTCCCGAAGATACTACAAGATGTTTTGGAATACTGACAGCCAAACCTATACCTCAGGTAATTAAACGCACACATACATGCATTTCTCTTTCTTTTTAAAATTGTTTTTAGGTGTTCAAGCCAGTGTCTTACATGTGGAACTCCATATTTATGCAACGATTCTTGCTTATCTTACCTGTCAGAGTTACCTAATTAACTTTTTAAAAGGACTGATATTTATGTTTTGAAATGTTTGAAATAATATAATAATAAAATGATCCAGATCAGTGACCTCAGTTGCTTGTTTCTTTTGCATCATTATTTTAGAATGATGCAGTTTATATGGGAATCTTGTGAAATAGAGAATATAGTTACACACATTGTCTCTCTGTAAAATAACTTGCTCATAGAAAGAAAATGGTTTTATATTATGACAGACTTTCTAAACCCTATGCTTTCTTATTTTTCTATAATTAATACTTATTTTAAGCAACTTATTTTAAGCATTCTATTGCAGAATGCATATACACGAATTAAACTAAATCCAGATTAATATTTCAAATCATATTAATGTATGCCAGCATTATGTTTTTTCTGGTTCCTGCATATCTTCCAAAGCAAGCATATTTCTCAAGCAAGGGTATAACTTTGGACACGATCCAGAAGCTATAGCTAATACAAAATGGGGTGGCAAGATTGCTGGTGAACATTCTCACTTAACTACAATAGAGAACTTTAGGGAGTTCTCTTGCCCAAGAGGTTCACATGACACCAGTATTTCTTTTATTTCAGGACGTACTTAAAGCAATACTATTTCAGCATGCTTTCAGCCTTTTATTTGGTGACCTATGATAAAATTGATGATTTCTTTAGTTTTTATATTGTTGTTCTTGTATTCCTCCCAGAATAGGTTAGGATTGGAATAGGCTATAAAGGATACTAATAAATGTTTATGCTTAGTTATGTACAGTCCACATACACTCCTTAAAACTTTGCATCAAGAACTGCCTTTCTAAGGTAGCACCTTATAAATAATAACATTGCACAAGAAAAACAAAAAAAGTAAAGATTATAGTTATTTGAGAAATTGTGATAGTCTTACAAGAAAAGTGTAGAAAAATACATGGACTTGTATTTGCACAAATATTCAGATTATAATATTAGCTCCTGCATGGCCACCATTTGTGGTTCTTGAATGAATCTATTACATTTTTCTGACAGTTTTCAGTTTTAACCTGACATTAACATGGGTTTGTTTGTGTGTTTGCGATCTATAATTGAATGTCTGTAAATATATATATCCTTATGCTGGTTTGAATATTAGATGTACTTTGGTTATTAACAAGGGACACAAATTTTAGCCAATGCCTTCTTGTAACCATCTTACATTTATTTTGGTTGGTTGGTTTGTTTACTTAGATTCCTCATTTTCCTGTATATACCCGCTCAGGAGAAGTGACTATATCTATTGAGTTAAAGAAATCAAGTTTCACTTTATCGTTACAAATGCTTGAGTTAATCACACGACTTCACCAATATATATTCTCTCACATTCTTCGACTTGAAAAACCTGCACTAGAATTCAGACCCACTGATGCTGATTCAGCCTATTGTGTTCTACCTCTTAATGTTGGTGAGAAAAGTGCTGTTTTATTTATTGATTAACGTTACATACAGTTGATGGGATATTTAAGTGGTATTTTCATACACAAAAGTCTTCCCACATGTGGAGGAATTGTTTAATATCCTTTAAATTGTTTAATATTCTACAACAATCCTTTATGTTAGAGCATTTTGCAGAAAATAAAACTGATTTGCAACACAGCCATAAAAATTTAACAAATAAAGGGGTTTTGCCTTTTAGTTGTTTTAGATTTTGAATATTACTTGTAAAAGCAGAAGCTTGGAAAGTACTATAGTATATAAACATTAGTTCTTAGAACAGTATTTCAGGTTGACTTCTTTTCTTCTGAAATACTGATTACCACCAAAAGCCCTGTGGTCTTACGAAATTGATTTTGATAAAAATTATTGGGAACTATTTACCATTTAAAAATATGTGCTAAGAATCTGAAAATATTTTCAGTTTTGAAATTAAAATATAATATTTTATTTTTAAGTTGATGGCTCCAGCACTTTGGACATTGATTTTAAATTCATGGAAAATATTGAGAAATCAGAAGCTCGTACTGGCATTCCCAGTACACAATATACAAAAGAATCACCATTCATTTTTAAATTGGAGGATTACCAGGATGCAGTTATCATTCCAAGGTGAGTATTTTCTGAAAATTGAAACAAATATCTGTTTATATTTAAAAGTAGTTAGTATTTTTACAGTTTTTAACAGTTTAATGCAAACATTAGAACATTCTATAGTGATCAAGTCTGACTTACAGGAGTTGGATTCCAGATTTCTAGAAAAGGTTACATGTCAAAGTAAAAAAAAAAAAAGTATGCAGAGTATTAAAACACTTTCGTTGATCCTAATAATTGCATAGTGTGAAGAAGTGCCTGTCAGGAATAATATGCAAAATGTTTCAGACTAAACTAATTCCAGTTTAAGTGGAAACACCTTGTTTCAAAATCAGAAGAAAGTTGTTTAAGATGAGAACATTTCAAACTTGAAATAAGATACTTTAATTTTGAGACAATTGAAAATGGAAATATTTTGCATACCGCTACCCACGAGGCTTCCTAATACAAGATATGGCATCACTTAAAAAGAAAGGAAATTTGATCACATAAATGTGGGATGCAGAATATTCTTCAGGATTTTTGTGTTGTGACCTAGGCTTCCTGAGTCATTAAAACACACGAGTAGTCCCAAAAACCTCTTTTATTGCAACAGCTGTGAATTACGTTCATTCACAGATGAGTCCCAATTAGTTGCAAAAAGTCCTTTGGGATAATCACCAACCTTTATCTCCCTTGACAGGCTGCCAAAGACCTACTTGGCAAAGCCACACAGAGTCCAGAATCAAACAGAGATGCCGACTGGGAACAGAATTAACAACGTTGCTTTCCTGCAAAGGGCTCACGTGCCTTTGTTTCTCTTTTAAGCCTTATGGGAGGGGCCAATCATCTCCAGGCCTTACTCCCAAGTCATCCCTTTTGTTTTAGCTGTTCTTGCCTTCTGGCAGCTCTGCGCATGCGCGCAGTAGGAACAGGCTCCTCCTGTTCTTCTGCCTTTGATGTCTGACTCTGGAGGCTCTGGAGTCCGTGCATAACTCCCAGATGGCCCTAGCCCCACCTCTGCCTCCCAACACAGAGCCCTCGTTCAAGCCTTCCCCAGCCTCCAGGACTGGCCCATGTTCCTCCCCAGCCTCCTCACTGTCTGACTCCGCTGCCAGCTCCTCAGGCTGCTGGTGGACCACAACATTTTGACAGCAATAAAGAAAATTTTTAGAGCTGCGTTAATATAGATAGGAAATTCCAATGGAAAAATATATAATAAAACATGACATATTTTAAGCAAAACTTGTAAAAAAATCTATGGAATTTCTGAATTAAAAATGGAATAATAATAAAATATATTGTTTTATATTTACCTGCTTAAACATAGAATGCTTCTTTTTCTTTGGAAAATTTTCCTCCTTATTTCACTAAAGTTGCAATAGCCAAGATCAAAATAACTATTCAGTTAATTTTGTTCTACCTATTGAAAGGAAGGGTATTTGTATTGTATTTTAATATCTGGGAATATCAACATCTTGCGGAAAATCTTACTGGAAGATATAGCTCATTGTTTTTGATCAGTAATTATTTTGAAAATAAAATTATATTTTATTTCAGACTGGTTTGTAATTAAATCCAACATCTGGAAATGGTAGAAAATTTATTTGGCACAGTGTTTGACATTGGCATCGAAATATCTGTTTCTATCCAGGTATCGAAATTTTGACCAGCCTCATCGATTCTATGTTGCTGATGTCTACACAGATCTTACACCATTGAGCAAATTTCCTTCACCAGAATATGAAACATTTGCTGAATATTATAAAACAAAGTACAACCTTGATCTGACCAATCTCAACCAGCCATTGCTGGATGTGGACCACACATCTTCAAGGTAAAGTCAACTATCAGAATTTACACATTTTTTCCCCTTGTGGTGGTGATTTATAAACATATGGCATCAGGTTTCCATATAGATGGTGATTTTAGACACATTTAAAGTTACTTTTTTCAAAAAGAAATATGTTCAGGGGACAATCCTGGACCAATTGGGGAGGGGCTGTGGTCCCCTTCCTTCATAGTCCATAAACAGAAACATGTTTATTCTATCTTTTGGGGAGTACAATAAGCAGAAAATATTAAAATAGAATTAAAATAAAAGCTGGGTAAAGTCAAAGGAGTTTGAATTAGATTTTCCCACCTAAATAAGATGGTTCCTCTATTTACTTTTTCTAATCACCTCCTGAATAGAATTGATGCACAAATCAATGACTCAGGGGAAAAAAATCAATTATATGGCTAGATTTTTTTCCTACAGAAAAATCTCCATATTTTTCAGCTTACGATATACATGAACAAAATTCAAAAGAAGCTAAAAAGGCCTACGAGGGACAAATCACATCCCTACTACTAAATCTTGTAAATCAAGTTTTTTTCTTGTTTCCATCTTTCAAGATGGAATTTGAAATATTATAGTAAGCCTTTTAAAGAAGGCTGTTCATTTTGTTCTAGACTTAATCTTTTGACTCCTCGGCATTTGAATCAGAAGGGGAAAGCTCTTCCATTAAGCAGTGCAGAGAAACGGAAAGCAAAGTGGGAAAGTCTGCAAAATAAGCAGGTAATAGTATATTTTCTATTTTAGAGGCTCAGCACCTTGCTAACTCTAAAATTTGTAAGATTTTAAAATTGAGCTTTGTCTTGTTTTCTATTAAAGATTTTGGTTCCAGAACTCTGCGCTATACATCCTATTCCAGCATCACTGTGGAGAAAAGCAGTTTGTCTCCCTAGTATTCTTTATCGTCTTCACTGCCTTTTGACAGCTGAGGAACTCAGATCTCAAACAGCTATTGATGCTGGTGTAGGAGTCAAGTCACTTCCTATGGATTTCAGGTATTAAATACATTATAGTTTAACTATGTAGGAACACTAGTCTGGAGCTAGGCCAATTTAACATGTTTTCACATAGTTTCTCAGTGGTTCCATAAATGCCCCATCAGAACTTTGTGTTTTTCAGTTTACAGAAAAAAGATGTTTACATTTTACTAGTATATTTTCCAAGAATTAAAATGAAGTTAATGATTTACTTGCTGATGTTAACTTGGATAAGAATAGATAACTTTTCACAGTACAAATTATTAAAATTATACCTACATAAATATTGCAGAACAGTGATAGGATATTCTTTGTTTATTTTTTAAAATCAGTTCATTTTGTTCTCAGGTTTATATTGCTGCTAATATGGATAACAGCCAGAATTCACAGAATAGCAGGACTCCCATCTTTTAATTCTATCAAACAGTTGTTAATTGATTTGGATTTTATGAGGTCTAAAAGCAGCTTGCAAAGCAATATAGTTATAGTGCCATTGGAGAGGGTTATATTGAAAATCAAGTATCAGCATTATAAACTAAGCCTTCTGTCCTTGTATCAATTAGACAGTTTTTAATTACATAATAATTTATTTTTCAGATATCCTAACCTGGACTTTGGATGGAAAAAATCAATTGATAGCAAATCCTTCATCTCTGCTCCTAATTCCTCTCTAGAAGAGAATGAAAATTATTGTAAGCACAGTGCAATTATAGTCCCTGAAAATGCTGCACATCAAGGTGCTATTAAAACCTCCTCCGCAGATAAGCATGACCAAATGTCTGTGAACTATAGAGCATTGATAGAGTCACCTAGCAAACTCCAAAAGGATGTCTCAGTAGAACTGACAACAACTAACGGTGTTTCTTACAATAAAAAACTTGCCAACGGCAATTGTGACATACCTAACAGAGAGATTTGCCAAGAAAATCAGCTAAATTACTGCAGGCAAGAAATACCTGTACAATCAACTACCTCGTATCCTATTCAAAATTTATACAACAATGAGAACCAGCTCAAGTTCAGCAATGAATGTACTCTGAGTAATAAATATCTTGATGGAAATGCTAACAAATCTACCTCAGATGATTGTCCCAAAATGGCAGTGACCACCAGTGCTTCGGAAGGTTGCAAGCCTTCAGAAGAAAGCATGGATTCTGTAACAAGCTCTTCCAGTGGTTATTCCTCAAGAACCCTTGGTCCAAACCCTGGTCTCATTCTTCAGGCATTGACTCTTTCAAATGCTAGTGATGGATTTAATCTGGAACGGCTTGAAATGCTTGGTGATTCATTTTTAAAACATGCCATCACTACATACTTGTTTTGCACTTATCCTGATGCTCATGAGGGACGCCTGTCGTATATGAGAAGCAAAAAAGTAAGTAGTATATCCATGATTTTCAACTCTGTGAGTTTGGGTTTGTGTATAAACCAGCGAATCCAGTGACATGTAGCAGTGTTGTTGGGAGTATGTACTCATAGTTCCCACTGCCTGCTGCCTTGTTCACTGACCACTGAAAGTTACAACAGTGCTGGAAAAATAGATTTACAACCAGTCCTCAAACTTGTGATCATCACAGTGTTCTTTTGATTGCATGTTTGTGATTCAGTTGCTTTGTTACCGGCACACATTGTGCTGATCACAACATCTTACTGTCATGGGATTGTCATATGCAACCTTCACAGCTGCTTCTGACAAGCAGTGTCAATGGGTAAGCTGGCAGGAAGTTGCAAGTCAGTCACAAGATGTTGTGCTTAAGAAACTATAGTGATTTGTTTAATAACCGCAGCAGACATGCCATAACTGGCACAGTGGTATGAAGTTTCACTTAATGCCCACATCACTTAGTGAAGGAGTTGCCAGTCCCAACTGTGATCAGAAAGTGAGGATTACCTGTACTGACTTTTGTCTGTACCCTGTGTGCTGTATGTGCTCGCAGAAGTAATTTGAGTAACTGAAGAATAGCTTTATTTGCCTTTTTGTCACTTTGGAAACGGTATTATAATGTACAAGTACTACTCACTTAATGACCATTAGTGCAATGACCAAAGTTACAACAAAGCTTGGTGGTGCTAAATAAATGGTAGTTATGACTGGTCCTTGAAGTTACATCGTTGCAGTGACCCCATGGTCACATGATCAAAATTCAAATACTGGGTGGTTGGCCAGAGTGCAGAGATGGGAAGATCAGCGGGTGGGGAGAATTGAAGTAGACGTGAGCATAGCAGGATGACAAAGCCTCATATGCTGGGGGGGCCTTGCTGGACCCAGTTGGGGAGGAGGCAGCAGGATGAAGCTCAGACTTTACACAGAGCAGGAGAAGCATGAGGTCCTCACCTAATGATGATGTGGTTATAACAACTGCAACAGGGACTACCAGAACTACTATTACTAAGTGGTGTGGTCATTTGATGTTTAACAACTGGTTCTCTTAGCCACAGAAATTCCAGTCCTAATTAGGGTTCTTAAGTGAGGGCTACCTATACTGAGCTTATCTGATGGATTTCAGCTGTGTTTTCAAAATTTACAAATTTAATGGAGGCAGATTTTGCTATCTACCTTTGTAAATGCATGCTTTGAATTTTTGAATATTTTGTTTATGATAAACTCCTCCCCCCCCCCCCCAAAAGGTCAGCAATTGTAACCTGTATCGTCTTGGAAAAAAGAAAGGGCTTCCTAGTCGCATGGTAGTGTCTATATTTGATCCTCCGGTGAACTGGCTTCCTCCTGGTTACATAGTAAACCAAGACAAGAGTAATGCAGACAAATGGGGAAAAGATGAAATGGTAAGTCTTTTGAAATATTACATGTTTTCTTTACAAATGTGTTGTTGCAAGCCAAACAAGAAGCCCTTGCAATCTTCCATAATTTTTTTTTTTTAATTTGATTTATATGCCTCCCTTCTCCGGAGACTCAGGGCGGCTTACAATGTGCTCAGCAATAGCCTTCATCCTTTTGTATATTTATACAAAGTCAACTTATTGCCCCCACAACTGGGTCCTCAATTTACCTACTTTAGAAAGGATGGAAGGCTGAGTCAACCTTGAGCCTTGGCGAGATTCGAACCTGCAGTAATTGCAGGCAGCTGGTCTTAATAACCACAGGGTGCCTTAGACCACTGTACTACCAAAATATTGCCTGCTACTTTTTTATTTCTCTTAAAACAGCCTCTGTAATAAAAGTAGGATGAAACATTATATTGGAAGACTTATGAAAGAAAATGTTTTAAATAATAAAATGGAAATAAGCAAAAATACTTGTGGGGAAAAAAATCTTTTGCCCTATCTTGAAAAGATTTTTTCCTCCCTCTACCTGTAAGCGTAGAGGAATGAACAATTCAGTATTGAAGGTGTGTAAACTGCGCCTATTTAGTTTTTAGTGAAAGTCATAAAGCGGTTCTGTTTTTGGAGAGTTGAATCAGACACAAAATAGCAATTAGGAGCCTCTTCATCTCGTGACCACTAATTTCTATGTGACACTATATGAAAATGCAAATATTCTCTTCAGAAATAACTCAACTTGAATGCATATTAGTATTCTCAAATATTTGCTTCATGCAAGAATTATAATTGTGTGTTAAAACCTTATTTAGCTGAAAGAATATGAATCTTATTTTAAGATAAGCCCCCCCCTCCCCCCATAAACAAGACAGTGTCTAAATTCCTCGCCTTTTAAACGTAAGATTGCAAATTATAGCTGAAACACTGCTGGAAATTTATCTCCTCCCTATCCACCCCATCTTATATTACAGATAAATTGTGATAAATAAAGTTTAGTATTTGTATAATCTCAAAGAACATTATGAAAAAAATTATTTACATCCCCAGCTTTCAACTATTAGCCAAAGAATTATTGGGTGTACAGAGATTTTTGTTTATTTCCTTCTGTGTTGAATACTAACTTCCTTGAGGACATACTCTGTTTTTGGAATCATAAATGAATAAAAGTATGTTTCAAAGAAACACTACAGGCTATAGAACAAAGTAGTTCTATATTGCAGAGCTAGTTAAATGTGGCACAATATTCACACAATCAAATTTGCTTTATCAGTGCCTGAAGAAAAAAAAACACATCTGTCTGAACCATATGCAAATTTTTAAAAAATCTGAGCAGTTCATTTCCGATACCAGTAGCTTAAATGTCTTCAGCATAATTTATTTTTTTCCTAACCATTATATTCAATTGTTCATCTATAATGTTTCAAAAATATTTATGAGCAGATAACCTAAAGTAATATCTTATCTTCTGAATTATGTTAGACTTCTTAATCGTTATTTTTTGTGTCTGTGTTTTCATTGAGTCATCTCTGAGATGGATTTATATATATAAAAATTATACTCTTGATATCAGTGCAGTGTCTTGTGTAACAATTTTTTTTCTATTAATCTGCCTATATAAAAAATGTAAAAAGGAATTTATGACTCCTTATTTTATCATCTTTCCTGGCTCTTCGGTTTCACTGATAAAGTGTCCCAAAAAACAAGGGTAAGAGTTAGTATAAGAAATACAAGTTGGCTTTTATCACACTAATTTTTAGCTCTTCTCAGTAGCTTTTTGCTTTGTTTTGTGACGAAATGCTTTTTCTTGGAGATCTATTTCATTCTGTATTATATGTATGCAAATTTTACATGTAGGATTTCCTTTCTTATGGAATATCCAAATGCATAGCAAGAAAAATTAATATATTTGATAGTATTGGAATCAGATGTCCTTTTAGTCCTAAAGTTCTTTAATATCCAGCCCCAAATTCCTGAATTTACAGCTGAAGCTGTAATTTAAGAAAAATATTTCAGTGTTATTGTAATAAGCATTCTGTTTTTACCATTCCAGAATAGAACCAGATCTTGACAAAGTTTTCTGATAGTTTACTATTTAACCACAGGTTGTTATATTGCCTTACAGAATCTGAATTCCTAAAATCACAACTTTGAACTAATATTTCCCCTGCTTTCTCAGAATATTTGTTGTAAAAATAAATGTAATGGAATCTTAAAATGCTTATTTATAGCTCTTCAGTGCAGATCATTTTAGAACAAGTTCTGGATTCTTATATTACTATGAATTGCTTTACGGTATAATAAAGAATATTGTTTGCCAAAAAGCTTTATTACCAGACTTCTGGGTGGAATAAAACAGAATGATACTGTTGTACTTACTTTCCCTTGAATTTATCTGCAATAATTACAACAGAAGTCCACAGTGGTCTTTTAGGTTTAGAATTAGTATTTCTCCATTAAAAAGTGATGAGATTGATTAGAAGGAATTTTTTTGTGTGTATCCTTTTTCTGAGATTCATACTTTGACTACAAAACCACTAGAGGGCACAATAAAAATATTACAATGTAACATTATTGTAGCATAAAATATTTAAAGGATTGCCTAAATTTATACAAAAAAAGGAAGTAATTAAAAATGAATTTGCTAACAGCATTATTGACTAGCCTGAAAGCATCAATGGATAATTACCCTAATAAAATTTTGAAAGCATCAGAATACCCCAAAAACTATATCGTGGCCAATTTTTTTAAAAAAGGAATTAATATTAAGTGAATTTAAAAGACAAAGTTAGCTGCTGATACCTAATTATTTAAGTTGAGTAAAAAGTATAGAAGTCCAGAACTTTTTAAACTGAATAAATGCCTTCATATGAACAATGTAAATGTGCAAAATTATGCACTTTTATATTTCTGGTTATTTTATTTAGCATATGGCAAAGTTTCTGGTAATAATTTTGGAAACGCTGCTGATACTTCAACATTTCTAGACAATATCTGTTGTGGTCTGAACTTGTGAACAATTTTGGTTACCGCACCACATAATTGATATTGTACGGCTGAAAAAAAGTGCCTAAAGATAATCAAAATTATTAACCATTTCTTCTGTGAGGTTGTATTCAAGGATTTTTAGTTAAAATTAAAAGGACTTCATTTTTATTAGTCTGGAGTAGAAAAAATTCCAATTAAGTTGAATCATAGAAGACTTGTGGTTGTATAAAAGAAATGCTTCATCAGACTGTAATGCTATGCATGGCGTTAAAAGGGAATTAGACAAATCAATGACTACTTTGTCATGATTGTTTTACTTTATGTTAGAGGGAAATAAAATCTAAAATCACAAGCTATAGTTTTTTTAAGAATTGTAAATTTTCAGCTTTCTCAGAAGTTTTCATTACATAAAATTGTGGTTGGAAAATGACAGTGGAGCACTGTAGGTACAGAGTTGTATTCATAGATCCATTGATAGAACCTCCAGCTGAACAGATAAGGTCTTATCTGGTACAGGGTAGTACTGGATTACAAGCTAAATCTTTTCAAAGCTAGTTAGGAAAAGGACAAGAAAAATATGTGTTATGTTAAATGTAACCTCTGTTTGAATTCCTCATTTTTTATCTTGGATGATATACAAAGTTTCCTTTATTGTGGCAGGAGAGAAAATGCAGAAAAGAAACCAACAGGGCACTTGGTTTCTTTTGGAGGTAATTTCAATTTCTATGTGGCACCAGTCATAGAATGGAAAATATAGCTCAGCAAAAACAAACTGAAGTCTTCTTTCTATGTAAATTTCCAAATCCAAAACCATGGATGTGGAGTTTGTTACCATTTTTTAGCCTTCTTTAGGTAGATAGCACCATAGACCACATAAACTCTGCCCTTTTTTATGTCTGTAGATATTAAAGCATACTGAAAACTACTTAATTAACACTTAAAACATTTGAATTACCAAAGTCTGATGAAATATTTTTGCATATTTGCAAAATCATAGAAATCTCAAATATTTTAACCATTTTTATTTATTTATTTTGTACCCATATCTCCTTCTGGGATCTTGTGATGGTATCTGAAAAGGTTGCCATCTTAGAATTTACGGAGTGTAAATAACTTGTAGGAGTCCAGTTTGATAATTAAATGTTTTGATATATAGGTAGTCCGCGATTTACAACAGTTTATTTAGTGACCATTTGAAGTTACAACACCACTGAAACAAATGACTTATGACCATTTGTCACACTTACGACCATTGCATCATCCCAGTGGTCATGTGATTTACATTCGGATACTTGACAGCTGACTCATGTTTATGACTGTTTCAGTGTCCCAGGATCATGTGATCCCCTTTCTTGACTTGACAAGCAAAATCAATAGGAAAGTCAATTCACTTAACAATGTGTTACTAATTTCACACCTGCAGTGATTCACTTAAATGTGGCAAGAAAGATCGTAAAATGAGGCAAAATTCGCTTAACAAATTTGTCACTTAGCAACATAAATTTTGGGCACAAAATTGTGGTTATAAGTCGAGGACTACCTATATAGTACTTTTTTTCTTGTCTTTATTTTCATCCAGCTAAAACTGTCATCAGTTTAGAGTTTTTATTTCTTCCTCAAAGTTGGGCATTAGAAATGAGACAAAAATAAGCATAGTCTATATCCTAATGATTCCCAAATCAAAAATACCCAGGATATTTTACCAGTAGATTTATTTAGATGTTAAAAACATGGATGAAATTATGGAATTTAACAGCAAATCATGCAGCAAAGACTATGTAGGAGAAATGTTTGTTCCAAGATCTACTTTCTAAGAGGAATCAGAAACACTGCCCAAGAATATTTCTATTGATTGACAAGACATTTAATGCATTTAAATTTTATCTATAGCTATTTTACATGAAATTACAAAATTATTGCAAAATTTTTAACCAGAAGGGTTTTTTTTTCTACTTTTAGACAAAAGAGGGCTTACTGTCTAATGGAAAACATGATTATGATGATGACGACGATGACGATGACTTAATGTGGCGAGTACCCAAGGAAGAAACTGAGTTTGAAGATGACTTTTTGGAATATGATCAGGAGCATATCAAATTTATTGACAATATGTTAATGGGTTCTGGAGCATTTGTGAAGAAAATATCACTGTCTCCATTTTCACCTGCTGATAGCAGTTACGAATGGAAAGCACCCAAAAAATCATCTTTGACTAATGTTCAATTTTCATCAGATTTTGATGATTTTGACTATAGCTCATGGGATGCAATGTGCTACTTAGATCCTAGCAAAGCTGTTGAAGAGGATGATTTTGTTGTAGGTTTCTGGAATCCATCAGAGGAAAACTGTGGTATTGATGCTGGAAAACAATCTATCTCATATGATTTGCATACAGAACAGTGCATTGCTGACAAAAGCATTGCAGACTGTGTAGAAGCCCTTTTGGGATGTTATCTGACCAGCTGTGGGGAAAGAGCTGCCCAGCTTTTCCTCTGTTCATTGGGTCTGAAAGTGCTTCCAGTTATTAAAAAAACTGAGTGGGACAATGTTCAGTACTCTTACAGAGATCATTTTAATAGCCAACAGAAGCATTCTTCAGCAAACTGTATTTCTGCCTCTTTAGCTAATCAAGAATCTTCTCACTATAAAGACTTGGTATATGGCTGTTTAAAGATTCCTCCAAGATGCATGTTTGATCATCCAGATGCTGAGACAACTTTAAATCATCTTATATCAGGCTTTGAAAACTTTGAGAAAAAGATTAACTACAGTTTTAAGAACAAGGCTTATCTACTTCAGGCATTTACTCATGCCTCGTATCATTACAACACCATTACTGGTGAGTCACATAAAATATTTCCTTTTCTCTAAGCTTGTGTACTTGAAGGAATGGAAATCATTTGAAAGAGGTGTTAATTGTATTGTATTGTTATATAATTCTCTCTTATCCCTCAATCCTTATTCATCAAGATTGTTACCAGCGGTTAGAATTTCTGGGAGATGCAATTTTGGACTACCTCATAACTAAGCACCTTTACGAAGACCCACGACAGCATTCACCAGGAGTCCTAACAGACCTGAGATCGGCTCTCGTTAACAACACCATCTTTGCCTCACTGGCTGTAAAATATGACTACCACAAATATTTCAAAGCTGTTTCTCCTGAGCTGTTTCATGTTATTGATGATTTTGTACAGTTTCAAATGGAAAAGAATGAAATGCAAGGAATGGATTCTGAGGTTAGTAGCAAAAATGCTAGTAATTTTGATGTTGAGTATCATTTAAAATATATGGATTCGTGCATAGGACATGAAAAATAGCAACAAAGGAATAGACAATCTTCCATAATTCAAAGGTACCATTTGTAATATATATTTACAAATTACATGAATATGTGTTCAAATAAATCATTCATACACAAATCCACAGATCATAAAAACAGATAATCTCTCACTTGTATGCATATGGCTACAAATAACCCCTTGTAAAAAATAAAACAGAAATTTCACTTCCCAGGCAACAGAAAATTGAGCTACTCTTTGTACTACAAGGAGGCTTGGATTCTACCCATGAGAAGAAGGCAAATTCGCTAAAAATTTTGCTTTCCTTCTCCACTACTGCTGCTTCCTATCTTATCATGTCTCACCTAGCAGTCTTCTTAGTAAGGATGCTGATAATGCCACTGCCAAAACTTTTCTTCCCACAGAACTCCCTAGTTCTGTGCAAGTAGCCAAGTAAACCAGTTTTATCACAGTCAAACAAACTAGGATACAATACACTTGTGTTTTTAATATACACTTTGCAATGGCATTTATTGAGGAACTCTTTCTGATGACTTTTAGCTTCGAAGATCTGAAGAGGATGAAGAAAAAGAAGAAGATATAGAAGTACCAAAGGCTATGGGAGATATATTTGAGTCCCTTGCTGGTGCAATTTACATGGATAGTGAAATGTCTCTGGAAATGGTTTGGCAAGTGTACTATCCAATGATGAGGCCATTAATAGGTAATGTAATTGTTTTCAGAAAAAAAGATTCTGCTTATTATTTTGATCAGGAAGATTACAATTTTCTATATATTTTATTACAGAAAAATTCTCGGCAAATGTGCCCCGTTCGCCAGTAAGAGAGCTGTTGGAAATGGAGCCAGAGACAGCCAAATTTAGGTAAGAATTCCCATCTTCCATATCTATATAAACCCATATAATAATTTTATGCTGACTTTGTATGAGAGAGAGGGGGGGTAAACGTGAGTTCTTTTTTCCTATGTATCAGATACTAGTTTATATGTATAACTAACTAACAACTATATATAAGGTCCATGATTTTAATTGGTTATTGTCAGGCACAAATAACCAGAAACAGAAATTGAGTTCAAAGCCCAAAATTTATTTTGTTGTTGTTAGTGACAAAGTCGTGTCTGACCATCTCAACCCCTTGGACAATGTTCCTCCAGACCTTCCTGTCCTCTACCATCCCCCAGAGTCCATTTAAGCTCACACCGACTGCTTCAGTGACTCCATCCAGTCATCTCATTCTCTGCCATCCCCTTTTTCTTTTGCCCTGAATCGTTCCCAGCATTAGGCTCTTTTCCAGTGAGTCCTTCCTTTTCATTAAGTGACCAAAGTATTTCAGTTTCATCTTCAGGATCTGGCCTTCTAAATTACATGCTAGCTATACACAAGACTCTGATCTACTAATGGTCAAGGCAAATTAATGCTAGATAAAAGTCAACAGAATTCATCGGGGGGTGTGGGTGTGCGGCTTTTGGTCTCTTGTGGGAGTATAGCGACTCCAAACCAATGACATGTTTGACCCTGCCTTCGAGCTCTGCCAGATCATCTCCTACAGTTATCATATTATTGCCAAGAAGACTAAATAGATATATCTGTATTTACCAGGACTGCTAAATATTCTCTTGAGTTGAACTCAACTCCTTGTATTGTTATTCTTTTACTGCTATTCTTTGGAATTAAGTTCATGTTTACTATTTTTATTGTAATTTGATTTTTTGTTTTTCTAATTTCTACTCATGTAGTCCTGCCGAAAGAACTTATGATGGAAAGGTTAGAGTAACAGTGGAAGTTGTAGGAAAGGGGAAGTTCAAAGGTGTTGGAAGAAGCTATCGGATTGCCAAATCAGCAGCAGCAAGAAGAGCTCTACGAAGCCTCAAAGCAAATCAACCTCAGGTTCCGAATAGCTGAGACATCTTCTTAAAAAACAAATATACCATAAAGAGAAATTTTTAAAATATATATATGTGTTGAGAGGAAAAAACTGAAGACAGCAATTAAATTTTGGTAATAAAGTAGTTAACAACATTAACATGTATACATAATTTTGGAACTAATTGTAGTTATAAGGTGGGGTTTTTTTTTTTGTTTTTGTTTTTGTTTTTGCGCAAACACAATCTTGTCTTCTTTCCTCACTTCTGCTTTGTTTAATCACAAGAGTGCTTTAATATTTAGCAAATGTTCAAATCAATTGTCAGGTCCTTTGGTTTACTTTTCCACTACAGTACAGGTTTGCTTTGCTTAGCTTAAAGGCCAGGGAGCCATGTCTCTTGTGAGATAAATATCTGTATCTCTACTTCTATCTAGAAATATAGATATATCTTGAAATTCCTTTAATCTGTGCACTAGTGCCAGTCACAAAGCAGTTATAAACTGTGCTGGATAATATGGTGTAAAAATAAGTGTGCCAGTATTGTCCTTGTTCTTTTCCATGTCATCTTTGCATTAAGATGGCATTCCTAATCATTATTGCACTTATTTCTTAGGGACAGGTTTTTAATTGAAATGTCTTGCATTCAATAGAATTTTAAATTGATGCCACATAGTCTTGCATTAAAGGTTCTTGCCTTAAAAATACATACACCCTCAAAATTAGAAAACTTTCAGTTTTTTAATCTCTTTGGAACAAACTGTATTATATTCCCTCCACTTTTAGAATGCATTTTGCAATGATAAATCTCTGTATTTACAGTACTTGTTAGTTTAGCTGTGACTTAACTTATTACGCAAGTAATAGAATTGTATTCATATATACGTAGTGAGGTTATTTTTAACATTTCAAAGGAAATTATTAGTACAGAGTTTATTTGATATTGCAAAGGAAATGTTTCTTCTTAATTTACATTGTTAAGAAACCAGAGTCTAGACTGAGCAGTGTCCATTACTCTTGTAGAACTTCCTTTCACTTCAAGGGGCTTATGCAGGAGATTTTCTTGGTGGATTACTGCCATGATTTACTGGAACTTAGTAATGATAATTGCACAGTGTGAACTGTTGCTTTTTTTAAAAAGAAATAAGAACCTTTGACATATCGCACCTAAAATATGCTGCAGTTTTTTATTGGATACCTATTTAACAAATAGAGCACCTTTACACCTTTAAAAGCAATTTCCACATAATTCTTACTGTACTTTTCAGAGTTGCATGCATATTTCACCTACCAAAGCTGTGCTGTTAAAATGCCATGGAAGTTGTTGTGTGAGAGAAACTGCCATACTTTTGATACATCTGGGACTTAGGTTCTTTAATGTAGAGTGACTAGCTTATTATTGTTGTTTAAGTTGATATGAAATCGTAAATTGTTAGGCTATGCCTCAATTTCTTTATACATTTGTAGGCACCCTTCACTTAAATACCTCAGTTCTTTGTTCTTTTTATGTCTTTTTTCTCCTTTTTTGCATGCATCGTTTTTTGTTTGTTTGTTTTTGGTGCTATGTGTATGTATTATGCTTGAAATTTTAATTTTTGCACTGTAACTATAATACCTCTTAATTTACCTTTATAAAAAGCTGTGGGTCATCTTGCACTCCCACCAATATCAATAGAGGTTTGCTGCAATTTTACCCCTGTTAATTATGCTTGAAGTTTGAGAGAACTGAGCAGAGTTTTTAATGTTTTCCAGCACGGTGGTTTACTCTTGACACTATTTTAAGTGCTAAATTACAGATAATCCTATTCTCCACATTTAAAGACACACACATCCCTTTCCACACAAGCATATTCATTCAAACTGTAAAGAGGATAAACATCTGGCTTATCTTTGTGAAGAATAGAATCATAACTTAGTGAGAAAAAAAATTAAATTAAATTTCAGGATTTAATTTTGAGTGACAGATACCTTGTTTAAATTCATAATAATGAATCAAAATAATATTTGTGTGCAGCTTAATTCAATGAGAGAATAAAATGCATGGAAGTTCATACAAGTTTTAGTATGTGTACAGCACAACCATTTCAGACAGATGAAGAAGCAGGGTTTTTTTCAGCTTTATAATAATCTGTTCTTCATTTCAGCATGAATGGTTACCATTGACGTTCAAAAAGTTAAATCTCTCTCTCTCTCTCTCTCTCTCTCTCTCTCTCTCTCTCTCTCTCTCCCTCCCTCCCTCCCTCCCTCTCCCTCTCCCTCTCCCTCTCCCTCCCCAAGAGAGAGAGAGAGTGAGACTGTATATTGGATTATGGATATATGCTATGGCATTGAAACAAGACTTAATTCCCCCACTGCCTCTGACTCTCTAGTTGGTTATATTCATATTCATGTATCATATTTCCCCTTTCAATGAAGGGGTTCATATAAGATCTCTTTATGGAACAATAACACTGTAAAGATGATTTTAAAATAAATATTGTTAAATTCACCATTGTGGCTCAGAGTAAACATAACAGTAGTAAATAATTGTTACTAAAATGGTTTTTTCCAGGAATCTTTTTCCTGGTTTTTTCCAGATTAGCTTTTAAAAATATTCATACAGTTTTTTTAAAAAATAACATGTATTATCCCAATCACATATATAAACTTTTGTGGTTTTGTAAAATGCCATACCCAAAATACAATCCAAATATATTCAATAAACACATTTCATACTTGAATACTTTCAAAGAATAGGATATTACATGATGGCAATTGAAGTCTGATAATTAAATTCCCTAATCTAAAGCTATTCAGTGCCTCCATAATGCAACAAGCCATGTAATTGAAATTACTGAGTAGAGACCAATTATAAATCTGGGTCCTGCTGCTGTGCATGTCTGTGTACAGTACCGCAATGTCTCTGTTCTGTCTTAGTTCATTGTGTTACATTTAACACAAAACCCACACTCAAAATTTTGATCTTGTACAACTGTTTTTCCTTTCCTAGAAAATACAATTGGGTATTTGGGTGGTATTTTTGAAACCTAAATTTGAAAATTAGGACCGATATTTTTTTATGCACCGCAAGCATGAGATGAAAGGGACTGTTGCAAACCTGTCTTCAAATTGTATAACACAGATTCGTCATGTAGACAACTGAGGGGTTAAATGGCATAAATGTATTTTCAGATGTTTGCCTATATGTTAAACTGTCTTGCTTACGGTCCTCCTAACTATGTTGCATTTTTAAATTTTTATTATGGCTTTGTTTTGTGCTATTCTGTTCATGTAGCACAAGTAATCATTGCACTTGGTACCATGCTTTACCTCATTTCAAGGAGAAATACCCTTTAAACAGAAAATATGGTTTGGGGCTTGCTGCTGTTTTGGTTTACTGAATTTGAATAAGAACACTAGAGTGTTTGCAGTATGTCAGTTAACTTACAGAAATGAAAAAGGCCATTTGGTGTTGGTTTCCTATGGCATGTTAGTATTTTTGTTTCATTTAAATGACTGACTAGTGAAAAATTTCCATGGAGCCCTTTGTATGATTAGAAGATACTGCCTCAAGTGTGCTCCTGCATTTTATAAGATTTCTTTCAGTTGCAGCTGGTGATGCTTTATGCCATAGTTTTTGGAAGTTTCTCATCTCCATATGAGTATATATTTCGGTTGATACAGGAGGCTGCAACAGAAAGGAGTTGAGAGGAGTACCTTTGCATGAACAGAATCTTGCTAAATGCTTCCCTCTATATCACTTATTTTTTTTATTTCTTATACCACATTTTTATTTTTGATAAAACGGTTGAATGTTACATTTAACTTTGATTTACTCTCCTTGATGTAAATTCACTTGTCTACATGATGGTCACTTACATTTCTCCTTCATTTTGGATGTGAAAGGATCTGATAACTTTTTATAAAAGTTCTTCTCAGTGTAACTCTTGGTTCTGTTCTGCTCTAAATAGGCCCACATCTATAAGTGGTATAAAGTAATGGTAAAGGCCTTTTCAAATTGGAAGTTATTTGACCATACTAAAGCCATGCACTATTCTTCTATATTCTTCAATGAACATAGTAGAATTAGTTGTATGTGACTAATGAACACAAGGTTGAATCAAAGTTGAATCAATCATATTGATGGCAAATTTCATGTTCAGTAAAGAAAGATTTGATAATTATATAATTTTTATTTAAAAATGTATAATTTACAGCGATAAAATATAACCGAAACCTAACAGCATTTACCAGCAGAAATCTGATAACAGATCTCCAGGGGGTCAGTGTAGAATACAAAACAGTAGCCACAATGTATTTGAAGAATAATTCTACATATATCTGTTTGTCTCCAAGTCTGCTTATAGGTTTCCTCTACTTGTTTGTGTTTTATAATTTGGATAACCATAGACTGTTTAAACTGATGTCATTCATGTAACTGGTTTACTATAAAAGGAAGTTATATGGAGAAACAGAAGTTGGAAAAAAGTTGAAAATTGCAGGCTTTTAAACTGTTAACAGTTTGACTTGAAAATGGTTAAAATCAAGTAGAATGAATAACATAATTTTATGGACAATAAAAGATTCCCGTCACATGCTGCAGCTGTCTTAAGGGACATAAAATGTAATTCATTCATACTGTAATCATGCTGCAGGAATTTGCAGTCTGCACCTTATGGATCACAGTTACCTTTAATATTTTTTTTGTAAAATTGTAGCTGAATCTATCCCCAATAAAGTTATGTTCTGTTCATTCTTGTGTTTTTTCTGTATTTAACACAGCAATGAGTGTATCAAATTGGATTATTGTTCATTAAACATACTGCCTTTACTTCAAGAGTCTAGCATACACAAATAAGTTTTTGATTTCACACATACATTTGAACAATAAATAGTATATGAATTTTTTGTCTATCCAGGAACTAAGTCTTCTTCCTAAATCATCATGAGAATATAGGACAGATAATTCACCCACAAAAATAGCCTTCTCTATGAGACACTTTCATCTACTTTATCAGAAACTGAGATTTTAGGATAAAATTCTAAGAATAAAGATAAACTAACCTGCAGTCCTGGAATAGATGAGACTTCAGCCTGAGCTAGCAAAGCTCTTAAGCCTAATTTTACCCCAGAATTTGTCTACTAATAAATAATTTGATTTGGAAGCAGGGTAATCTAACTGATAATTCTTCATAAACCTTTCTGTTTAAATACAGTGCAACACTGTTTGATCTCTAAAAATTATCACTTGTGACTAAAAGATCAAAACTGATAGATGAGCTGTCTTCACTACAATGAAAATCTTGAGTGTCCAATGTCTTAATCTGTATACTAGAGTACCCCATTTCCACAGCAGCAATATTTTGTCCTCAGTTTAACTCACAAAGCATAGTTGTAAAAAATATGTTTACTTTCTATTGTAATCAGAACTACTCCCCATTTAGGAATGACTGTTGGAAGAAATGCCCATCTGGGTTCAGTTCCAAGTGGGGAGAAAGACACTGGAAACATGGAAGCTGTTTGGAAAGATGGTTTAGTGGTGGACAGAACCACATGGTTTGAGGTCCTGGGCAATCGAGCACATGGAAGAGAGAGAAAGATATTTATGCCCTCTCTCGGACTTTGAACTTGCTTCCTGTTCCTGTGAAAGAAATGTGTTCTGATTGGTTGTCAGACTCCCATGGGGCCATGCAGGGGTAACTTTGTAGGTTATCTTGAGTCTCAGACTTGGTTGAATCTTGCTAGGTGATGATGTAATGAAGAGCAATTCCTTTGTTGGATCTTGGGTGAGGGTATTTGCTTATGAATAGACCTAGCCATCTCTTTATCTCTTAAGTGCTGACATCTGCTGTGGGCTATTGAGGAGGGTGGGGGCTATTAAGAGTGAGTCTGCTTCCTTCCTAAAAAAACATGTTTCTCCATTTCTATATCCAGGGAAATATAATATTCTGCCTTTCTAATATTTCCTAGATATTTCATTCTCCTAGCCTAGGAGAAGGGTTGGTCAGACTAGCTAGACAGAAGCCTCTCCTAAATGCAAAATACATGGAAGCACTCTTGGAGTTTGCAAAAAAGCACCTGAAGGACTCAGGTTGAGGGACAAGATTCTCTGGTCTGATGAAACCAAGATTGAACTGTTTGGCCTCAATTCTAAACATTATGTCTGGAGGAAACCAAGCACTGTTCATCACCTACCCGATATCATCCCAACAGTGAAGCATGCTGTCGAAGTGTTTTTCAGCAGCAGGAACTGGGAAACTGGGTTGAAGGAAAGCTGAATGGAGCAAAGTACAGGGATATCCTCAATGAAAACCTGTTCCACAGCACCCAGGACCTCAGACTGGGCTGAATGTTCACTTTCCAACATGACAACAATCCTAAACATACAGCCAAGACAACACAGAAGTGGCTTAAGGGACAACTCTGAATGTCCTAGAGTGGCCCAGCCAGAGCCCTGACTTGAACCCTATTAAACATCTCTGGAGGGCCCTGAAAATGGCTGTCTACTGCTGTTCGCCATCCAACCGGACTGAGTTTGAGAGGATTTGCAAGGAAGAATGACAGAAAATCCCCCAATCCAGGGTTGCAAATCTTGTCGCATCATACCCAAAAAGGCTCAAGGTTGTAATTGCTGCTAAAGGTGCTTCAACAAAGTACTGAGTGAAGGGTCTGAATACTTATGTCAATGTGATATTTCAGTTTTTTCTTTTTAATAAATTTACAGACATTTCTAAAATTCTGCTTTCACTTAGACATTATGGGGTACTGAGTGTAGATAGTGTGAGAGAAAAAGAATGTCAACAACTGTAGAATCAGGCTGCAGCTTAACAAAATTGACTAAGGTGAAGGGGGTCTGAATACTTTCTGAATGCACTGTAAATAGTTCTTGCTTGAATTCTCTGGCACTTCGGGTGACTTGAAATGGGACATACCACAGTTTAGTTAATGATACATGTTTATGACTTGATTTTGTGATTATTTTTTTATACAAAATGCAGCCTTTCAACTGCTTACAGGAAGAAGAGTTGCTGAATTTATACTCTGAATGTTATAATATTTTTATTGGATTTTCAAAGTGGCATATAACGATCCTTAATATAATGAATTAGAAGGCTGAAAAAAATGCCAGGCTTTATTATATACTCTGTTACATACAAATGTGTACCTGCACCAACAATGATTACTTTTATTATTATTACTATTGTAAACAATACACTGCAGATGTGTGGACAGAAGCTAAAATTCTTACCACCACATCTTATAAATTGGATGCATTTCTAGGTAGAAACAGTCATACAGGTAATTCTCACCAATCATTCAGCATCCATTTGAAGTTACAATGGCACTGAACAAATGACAGCTGCAATCAGTCCTCAAGGGTTATCCCTGTTGCAGTGCCCCTATGGTCATGTGATCAAAATTTGGGTGTTGGTTGGACTTCCGGTTGAATTTCTGACACCTTCGGAAGCAAGGACCGCGAGCTCCGTGGCCCCGTTCCGAGCTCTCCCTGTTGGGGGCTTCATTCAAAGCCATAGCCACCCTGGAGGGGTGGTGAAGCAAAGGGGGACCGCCTTGCAGGTTGAGGGGAGCTGCATCTCCCCTTCCTGACTCAGAAAACCCCCTCACTCGAAGACTAGGAGCAGCGGCAGTCAAAGTGGCTGCCATGAAGCCGGAGAACATCCAGAAACCATAAGTTTGTGCAGGAGGAGAGAAACGATGAATGATGTGTCATCTGGGTGAGAAAAGATTTATTGCTGAAGCCTGGACCCCCCCAAAAAAAAAAATTCAAGGGGAATACATTTTAGAATGATCTGTTACAGCGGCATGCAATTATTGTGCAAAAACAATAAATTTAAAAAGTAAATATTTGTTTAAAAAGAAAATTAAGCTGGAAATTGAATCCTCAAAACAAAAGGTGTGATATTAAGAAGGCATATTAAGATGCTGGAACCATAACCCCACCTTTTCTTCAAATTATTTGCTTTAAGTATTGGATTTATAAGTTAAAACAAACAAGATAAATAAATCGGACTTGTCAAAATAAAAGCAGAGAGGCAGCAGAGTGAAGCAAAGAGCGCCATCTGCTGATGAAAGTGAGTCTTTGGAACTTGGGAGTAAACATTGAAATAAATGAAAATAACTATTGAACTACACATATTTACCCTTTAACCACTGGAGACTGGAATATTAAATAAGATTTTGCATTTGGAGACTCCTGAATATTATTGGATATATAAAAACGACTTAAGGAGAGGAGGATCCCTGAAGTAACTAACTGATTTGATTGAACATTGATGAGACATTAAAACTTGACTTGGAGGCCTGGTTTCTAAACTGACAATTGTGGAGATTTAAACGGAATGGAGTCAATGATTCAAAGCATTAAGGATCTTATACTGGAACTACACAAGGACAGGGTGGAAATATTTGATCGTATAGATAGAAGATGGAAAAATTGTATACAAGTGACAAGGAGCAAAGACCAGGACAAGAAGGAAAGAATGGAATTAACAGTTGGAATAGAAGGGAAATTAGAATTGAGAAACCAGCAAAAAGAAGATAACAAGGAGAAGACACTTTTAAAATTAATAAGGGTTGAGGAACTAAAACGGGGAAAACACTTTATAAGTGTTTTCAAATTAAACAGTGGGAAAGGGCAGGGCAAAGGAAAAAAATTAAATTATGGATTCAGACTATAAACCTCGAAGTAAATGGAATAAAAGACTTAAGAGAAAAATATGGGAAACAAGTTTTTTAAAAAAGTAGGATTAAAGGATTGGATGTGGACAAGAGATAATAGTTAATAAAAAGAGTTATAGATATGTTATGATCATATTTTAATAATTGTATTAATATTAGAATGATATAGTCTAGTCTATAGTCTGGATAATTAGTTGGCATGTAATATAATAAATATTAGGATAAACATTTTACTATAAATGGATATTAACTATGGAAAAATTATAAATGAGAATTTACTATTAAGTGGAAATGAGAAGATATAGCTATGGTAATAATAGAATTATATGCAACAAGAAAACTAGAGTTTGAATGAGAAAATTAGAAAAAAGATAGACTAGGAATATGTTGAATGGTTTAAATGATTGTGATATTAGAAGTCATTATTGAGATATTAATGGAAGAAAGAAAGAAAGGAACTAATATATAGAGAGAGGAAGAGTTAAATAATGGGAATATGAATAATAAAACAGATTATGTCTTTGAATATAATAATGTGAAGGGGGAAAATGTTAAAGAAAGTTTAGAATGGAAAAATGGTAAAGCAATGTATTAATAATATGGAATAAGGAAAATGGAATGTAATAATTATGAATATGTTAATTTGTATTGAATTGTATGATACTCAGATACCATACCATTCACATAATGATATGTATAAACTATACAAAAATAAAAAACTTGATTTTAAAAAAAATTTGGGTGTTCATCAATCAATTCACATTTTCAACAGCCCCGAGCCACTTAGTTCCTCCACCATCTCTGCCCTTTTGGCTGCCCTGAATGAGAGTGTGGCCCTTGGATGCCCATAGCAGGGTGACAGAGCCTCTGCCCAAGGGCCTGGCCAGGGATCAGGCAGGGGGATGGGCCTAGTGGAGGAAGAAGGGCAGTGGTATGGCTGCTGGGTAAGGTGACGGCTGTCAACTTTGCAAGGCCTTTACCAGGACATCTGCTGGTTCATCACCCTGCCTCTGCTGGCTCTGTCCTGCTGTCTTCTCCCCTGCCAGGCAAAGA